TCTTCTTCTTCTTCTTCTTCTTCTTCTTCTTCGTTGCAAATTGTCCTACTTGGACAATTCAGGTATTTTCTTCCATACGAATGAGAAATACATTGAACGTGCAATTAAGGTTAACTATATATACATAAACTTATTATAATATCAATAAGTGTACAGTTCCTGAAGGCTTTTTAAAAAACTTTCAGTAGCATTTCAGCATCAAATAATCAAATCTCAAGTCAAAAGTACAATATAAACACTTCTATATTACACAACAACATTCTCCAAAGTGAAATATGGCTACTAGTAGGCCTCCAATTCAAACTAATCATATTCATATCATTTTCACTCAAATGAAGACACAAATCCACATAAATTAATATCAAAATAATCAATTTCAAGTCAATGCATAAACTTACTTATCTTTTATATATTTACTTATTATAATTTATTTCATTGCAACCATAGAAAGTCCAAGTGTTTCTATAAATTTTTCTCTTTAAATGTATTTTTCTCATTAATTAATTTATTATAGTCAATTCATATTTTATGCTTTCATTAAAATTATTTCTAATATTTCTAAAGTACTTTCTAACAAAATTAGATTTATAATTTGAATGTAATGCAGTAATAAGCTTACTTATCTATTACCAAGTACGGGCATTAAATATTAATTTAATGAATTTAATCTTTATTCATAACTCTATATCCATTTGCAATACGCTATTAGATACAGTCTATGGTTAGTATTCTTTAATTTTACGCATTTAAATGTACTTTATTCTCCGATTAATAATTTATATAATATATGAGATCGGAATTCATAAATATATTTATGCTATATACATATAATTATTTCTAATCATTTCTAAAGTATCTTTTCTATAACAAAAAGTGTAGATTTTATATAAATTTGAACGTTAAAATAATTTAAAATATTTTTCTCAATATCACTTACTTCATATGATGCACTTAAATTACAAATATACACCACACTTTGCTAAAGTAACACTAGTTAAAATCCTTTATAATTTTGTCCTTGCTATATGGAGTCCTCACCATTAATATTTCGACATTTATATAAGATTATTTGATTTATACTCTAAGGATAACAATTGTATTATTTTTAAATAATATACTTAATCTTATTTTTGGTTGTGTTTGATTTTTTACTTATTATAATTTATTTCATTGCAACCATAGAAAGTCCAAGTGTTTCTATAAATTTTTCGCTTTAAATGTACTTTTCTCATTAATTAATTTATTATAGTCAATTCATATTTTATGCTTTCATTAAAATTATTTCTAATATTTCTAAAGTACTTTCTAACAAAATTAGATTTATAATTTGACTTAAATAATATTCTTATAACTTCTCATTTATCGCTTATAAATTACACACAACTTTTGTTCTAAATACACTAATTAAAATCCTTTTTTTTGTTATGTATACACTAATCAACTTTTTTTTTTGTTATAAATTACAATTATTTTTAATAATTGTAATTTATTTTTATAATTTTTAGATTTAAAATTTTTTGTTATCCATTCATTCATAAAATTTTACAACAAAATATTATCCGTTCATTCATAAAATTGCAACAAAAAAAATTCTATAAAAAAAGCAATTACACCAACAACAAAATATTAATTGAAACTTAATCAAATTTTTAAACAAATTCTATTTATGTTATATATTTCTTATTAATTCTCACCCTAAAACTACACATTACATAAAACAACAAAAATTAAGTGCTCAAAATACACAAAAATGATCAAAATGCACACAAAATAAAAAAAACCTAACTGTTGCCTGCTGAGAACAGATTCACAGAAAATAAAGGGTAAGGTCACCTACCTGACCAGGCTGAAGGCGCGGCTTCTCCGGCAACAGGGGTGAGCTCCGATGATCCCACAGCAACCGACGAGCAGCAACCAAGGAGAGAAGAGGAGGCAAGAATTGGAGAGGGAGGAAAAGGGAGAGGGCCGAATTGTGATCGCGATCAAAGTGACCAAGAGCTTATAAAGCCATAATATTTTGCGACCGATAGGTCGGTCACAATTTTTAATCAAACGTTATTGTTTTTCAGTAAAACAAACTGTGACCGACTTGGGATTGAACAAAATTGACTGCAAATCTATCGCATTCTAGAAAAAAAATCTAGTACTAAACTATAGCGTGCACTTTAGTGACGGACCGTGAATTGGTCACAAATTCATCACAAAGTTGGTCGGTAATACATCGCCATTTGGTCACAAAATAAAAACCAAACTTACGCAAATTATTAGCGACGGATCATCAACCGGTCACAATTCCATCGTAGATCAGTCACAAATTGGTCTGTGAATATTTAACTTCTATCACTTCAACATTTGTCGCACGCGGTCGCAAATGCATCCCACATTTGCAACCAACACTAGTCAGTCGCAATTTAGCATTTTTTTTTTTAGTGCGATAAGTCGATAAGTTCAAGGTATTTTTATCGTTTAAGTATTTATTTAATAGGGTGACCTAAAAATTTAGTATGCTATTATTGTATAGTTCGTTTTTCATTTGACTTCTGATTAAATGAAAAACAAAATTAGAAAAATACATAATTTTTGTTTCAATTAAGATTTTATTTGATAATATTAATTATTTTAGTAGCTATCAGCTATTGCAATAATTGTTAGATTAGCATTTTATAATCCACTCATTCTTCCTCTAAACACTAATTATAAACCATATGTCATCCAATAGTATAAATAATAGATATAGTGTTTTGGTTAATATCAAAATAATAAATACTAGTTTAAAAGAGGATGTAACTGTATTCCAACTAATGTAATAATAATATATGAAAAAAATTACCTTTTTATTAGAGAAAAAAGAAAAAGAAAGATCTTTCAATTAAATAGTTTTTTTGTTTTTTGAAAAAATTATTCACCTAATTTGTTGGAGGCCTTTTAAATATAAAGCTTCTTTATCAATTTAGCAGGTTGAGGAATAATATAATAGGATAACTCTCCCTTTAATTCATCAAATTGGTGAAAGCTTTAGTGATCGAGAAAACTCTAATTCGAGACCTTTCATCTCTCGTATAAATGAGAAGATTAATCAGAATACACGTGATTCACAGCGATAAATTTAAACTTTTGTTTGTCATTAGAGGAAGTTATTTAATACATATAGCTAGTATAATATATTCTTACAATCATCTCCTATAAAAAGAGTAATATAATAAAAGTACAATCTGAGCCAATTAATTAACGCTTTTGTGTTATGAGATATAAATATTTCTGGCAGCAATTAGCTAATCCCATACTAGATTATAAAATTTTGCTACTTATTATATATTACTCTGGATGTCTTGTTTTGGTTTTATTTTTGACTTAATTTCATTTTCTACTTCATCATTAATTTACATCTGTATATATTCAATATTTGACATCTATAATACATGGTGGTTAGTGCTTCTCCTTATAATAATAATAATAATAATAATAAAATATTTGACATCTATAAACATGGTGGTTAGTGGCTTCTTCCCTTAATAATAATACATAAATATAATAATAATAATAATAATATAATAAATAAGTAAATAATAATAAAGGAAATAATAATAATAATAATAATAATAAAGGAGTATAATTATAATTTTAAATATGTTAATCAGCCTCTGAAATTTAGCTCCATTAAATTACTTAATTTTATATTTTAAAAAAAATATTATTTGTACTCTTAAATGAATTATTAAATAATAATTAGTAAATATGAGAAATTAAATAATGATATTATGCTAAATGTAAAAGATCAAACAGTGAAATATTATAGTGTATTAAAAAATTCTCTAAAATAAAAATTTTTAGATAAAAGCATTATATAATTCGAAAAACTATAAACATCATTTACTAATTGTCATATTTACCAAACAAGAGGAATGTAGTTATTGTTACTATCAAACCTGAGGGATTATATAATTATTTATTCTAATAAAAATTTCCATGTAAGAGGAATTTTTTTTATTTATAAGATACCTAACATATTGTAAGAATTTTATAGGCAGTACAATAGAAATTAACATTCTCGTTTGAATAACAATAGTTGAATTGATTGAATTAGTGATAACTTACACGGTAGAAATGATTCAAATTTAAAACCTTTCACTAGAAATGATTTAAATTTAAAACCTTTCACTTTTCACATTATTTGCATGACATTAAAAAAAAATCAAATTACATCTAATCGGCTCGCTCAATGAAACTTATCGATCAAATGCATAAATTTACCCCTGTATTCTATCAAAAAAACTCGGTAGCATCCTAAACTATGCGAGTGACCTATTATACTCTTGAAGTTGCGAATTTTGATAACTTTGTATTCTTCTCTAACTAGTAATCATAATTTTTTGATATTTTTAACATTTATATATAAAATATTCACTTGATATGTAGTTAGTATAAATTTTTGGAACAATAATTTTCATAATTTTTAATTATCCAATAAATTTTTAATGAATTTAATTTTATAAGTTTGAGTGTTCGGTAGAACAACTTTTATAAGTTGAAGTATTTAATAAGTAAAAATTTATAAGTTTAAGTGTTTTATAGATTAATATAAAAATTGAGAGTGATATAAAATTTTTTTACGGGTGAATTTATGAATTCCATGAGTCCTTATCTATCTGGGTGAGTCAAGGAATGCGACATGGCAAATCTGCCACGTGTCATATGAGTCTGCAGATCAGACTCAGACTGACGTACAGGTACAAGTCACTTGGGCCGGTATGTCCTCATTTTGATCAGTACAGAAACACAAAGTGGTGTTAAACCTTTTTTTTTTTTTTTTTTTTTAAACACAAAGTGGTGATTAAAACCTTTTTTTTTTTTTTTTTTTTTGTACTTTATTTCTCTTGTTTTGTTAGTGATGTTTTTGAAGTGTTCAATTCCAAAAAAGCAAAACAGTGGTGTTGAAAAGGGAAACGCAATCTGAAATCCAATAAAAAGCCTATGGCAGAAAGAGTTTATGATAAGCAGAAGTTAAACCTTTTTTTTTTTTTTTTTTTTAGTACTTTTATTTCTCTTGTTTGTGTTAGTGATGTTTGAGTGTTCAATTTCCAAAAAAGCAAAACAGTGGTGTTGAAAAGGGAAACGCATCTGAATCCCAATAAAAAGCTATGGCAGAAAGAGTTTATGATAAGCAGAAGCTTTATGTAGAAGGATTATTGCTCTGAAATTCTCAAGCTGGTAGCAAAAGAATGTAATAATTACAATTTCTTTCTCTTCAAATTTCTTATAAGAGCCAAGTTTCCATAGTATAAACTCTGTATATCTCTCTCATGGCTGGAGTTCAAGGAGGAGGAGGACTCAACAAGCAATGTCTTCTCCTCATAGGTAACTGAGTTTCTTTCTATTTGAAAGCAATTTAAGAATGATAATGGAGTTTCATGTTTTTGACTGGTTTTGGTTTTGGTTTTTGAACAGTAATAGCTGGGATAGAGAGATTTGCATTCAAAGGGGTGGCATCAAATCTTGTAACTTACTTAACAGATGTGGTGAAGATGAGTAATTCTTCAGCAGCCAAGACTGTAAATAAGTGGTGTGGATTTACTTATATGTTACCACTTTTAGTTGCTTCTGTTGCTGATTCTTGTTGGGATAAGTATCCTACCATTTTGTTCTCCTCTTTCCTCTATGTTGTGGTCAGTTCCTCTCTCCTCTTTTCTTATTTTTTATCTTTTTTTTAATTTGTGGGTATTTAAATTAAAGTTCTTATAATAATGAAAATTTCAAGTATTTAATTTTGAGATATCAATGTTATCATGGTTCATTTAGTTCTTTCATATTAGTTCTTCTAAGATAAAATGATTTTGACATGCCATGAAAATTGGAAATGAAATATTTTAGTTCTGGGGATTAACTGGTAGGAGTAGGAGTAGGGGTGGCCAAAATCCGTCGGTTCCGAACCGGTCCGAACTGAACCAGAATTGGTCCTAACTGATTTGGTTCCAGTTCCACCAGTTTTGGAACCGTGAACCGACAGTTCCCAAAATCAGTCGGAATTGGCAGTTCCGGTTGGAACCGTCCGGAACCGGTCGGAACCATCAAGAATCGATCGGAACCGTCCCGAATAGGTCAGCAACGGCCAGAGAACCTGCTAAAGAGCCGGCCGAAACTGTCGATTTTAGAACCATTAAGGAACCAGAACTGTTCGGTTCCAAATCGTAACCGGAACTATTAATTTTCGGTTTGGTTCTAGTTCTAAAATATTTGGAACCGAACCGTGGCCACGTCTAAGTAGGAGTGAGCATTGTATCAATTTGGTCTATACAGAATGAACCATTTGTAAATCAAATGAATTGAGTTTTTATAAAGAAAGTTCAATTAAATTAAACTATTTATAGAATTAAGATGAATCAATTCAATTTGATTTTTCAATTTTGATTGAATTTTTGGACTAACTCAGTTCGATTTTTTAAGTTCTCGATTTTATTAATAAACTACATTAAACTAAAAAAATTTCAATTTTTTTTATTAAAATCGAAGTAATATGAAACTTTTAAAAATCAAATTCAACTAATTGATTTAATTCAATTCAATTGGTTTTGCTTAATCGTATTAACCTGCTAATTATGGTTCAATGCCTATGAATAAATCAATAAGGTCACAATTGGGTTATGAATTTTGATAGAGACTAAGGGGAAGTTTTACTTATTTATTCAATAATAATAATAGTAAGAATGTTGTCGTTTTAAAGCAAATTTGTCACTTGGTCCCATACTACTTTAATAATGGCCTTTCAACTTATTAACGTGCAAATAATGCTCCTTCCATTTTCCAATATCTTTTTCCTTTTTTCAAATTTTTGTCCATTTCTTCTCTAAAAGGTAAATGTCATATCAGTATATAAATTTCATTTTTAATTTTACATATTAATTCAGAATATCGTGTGTTTCATTTTTTTCTTAATAGATTTTAGTAGCATTAATTCATATGTATTAATTAAATATTTGTATATAAATAAAAATTTAGAGATAATTACTATCTAATCTTTAGATTTTATTCGTATGCGGTTAAAAATTTCAATTCTTAAAATTATAATATTTAGTTCTTACATTATAACTACATTACATTATAAGATTCAAATCTTATTTTGTCCGTTGAGCGATTATGATACGTCAAAAATAATTCTAAAAATAATTACTATATAGTTCTTATAGTTTCATGAAATATACTAGTAAATATCTCAATTTTCATAATTTTACACTATTTAGTCCTTATATAATAATTATTCTTAAAGATATTTTTGATATTTCACAACTACTTAACAGAAAAGCTAACCGTTAGAGTTTTTATAGTATAACATAATTATAATGCAATGACTAAATAATGTAATTTTGACAGAAACTTAGGGATTATATAGTATTTCTCCAAAAATTTATTAGCAATACATATTTTGCATGTTTAATTTGTTTTTTCTTTTTCTTTTTTTCCTTTGTTAAGGGGCTTGTGGCATTGACATCAACAGCATTAGCTTGGGCGTTGTATCCAACCAACAACCTAAGCTCTTCATTCTTGTTTTGGTCTCTCTGTCTTATCTCACTAGGCCAAGGTGGGTATAACCCATCTTTACAAGCATTTGGAGCAGATCAGCTTCAAAACGACGACGAATTGCCCTCAACAAAAGACATTCAAAAATCAAATAAAAAGAGTTTATTCTTTCAATGGTGGTATTTTGGTGTTTGTGGTGGAAGCCTTTTAGGAGTTACAGTAATGTCTTATATTCAAGACACACTTGGTTGGGTGTTGGGATTTGCTTTCCCCACCGTTGCAATGGTTACTTCAATTGGTTTATTTTGGTGTGGAAGCAGAATGTATGTTTATAAACAAGATGGTAAAGATAAGATTGCTGAAAGGTCCTTTTGGGACATAGTTCAAGCCATGAAGGAATTCACTTCCAAATTAATCAATTGCAGAGTCACCTTATCAAGGGATAATGAATTTCCTGAGCTAGAGTAAGTTCCTGTATTTATTTACTTTTTTTTTTTTTTGAATATTTTAATTGTATTAATTTAGTATTATTTTATATTTGGTGTTAAAAGATAAGGTAAATTATTTTAATGGGAAATATGTTTGGATTTCCGTGACATATCCTAATTAACACTTTCGTTTCTCTACTTTTAAGATGCTTACTGCATTAAGTCACCAAGAGAAAAATTTTAAGACCCTTCATGTTTTTCATGATTAGCATGTTAGTCCTTAAAACAAATTTTAATATAGTGCAGAAGTTTTCTATCAATGGATTCTGATAATTTGGTTTTTCACTTGTTTTTAGGCTTCAGGAGAAGCCTCTTTGTCCTGAGAATATGGGCAGTGGCAAAGGCATGAATGAGAACAACTCCTCCAAAAGTAGAATTTCCACTGATAATGCAAAAGTTATCCTAAGGCTCATACCTATTTGGACAATGCTTCTAATGTTTGCTGTTATTTTCCAACAACCTGCCACCTTCTTTACTAAACAAGGTGTAACAATGGAAAGAACTATTGGAAGCAACTTCAAGATCCCACCAGCAACACTACAGAGTGCAATTACAGTCTCTATAATCCTCCTAATGCCATTTTATGACACCATATTTATCCCAATTACTCGAATCATCACTCGAGACGAAAAGGGTATAAATGTAATGCAAAGAATGGGTATAGGTATGTTTTTATCCATAATAGCTATGGTTATTGCTGCACTAGTAGAAATGAAAAGGCTTGAAATGATTCAAAAAATGCCAAATTCAGAAACTGTTCCTATAAGCATATTTTGGTTACTGCCTCAGTACATTTTGTTAGGGATTTCTGATATATTTACTGTTGTGGGTATGCAAGAATTTTTCTACAGTGAAGTTCCTTCTAGAATGAAAACTATGGGAATTGCATTGAACACAAGTGTTTTTGGTGTTGGAAGTTTTGTGAGTGCTTTTTTGATAACTCTTATTGAAATTTTTACTAGTTCAAGAGGAAAGAAAAGCTGGTTTAGTGATGACATGAAAGAAGCTCGTCTGGATAAGTATTATTGGCTTCTTGCAATTTTAAGTGCAGTGAGTATGTTCTTTTATGTTGTTTTATGTAGATTTTATAGGAGTAGGAGTGATTTGGATAATGATAGTTGTAAATGATAATTTTTAATTTGCTATTTAAGGAAAATATAGTTTTTCTCTCAAGAAGTTTAGTGGAGTACAAATGTCATGTATGCAATATTTGATTATTAGTGGAAATGTAAATGATGTTATTTGCTTCTGATGATTTGGCCAAATAAATTGCAGAAATGTCAGGATTTTGAATTTTAGAAATGGAAAATGAAATCCATTTAAAATCAAGAATTTGTATGAAGGAACTAAAATGCAAAACTTTAATGTTGGGAATTTGAACTCAGTTCTTTTGTACAAGAATGTACAAGAACTATAAAAATAAAAATTTGTGAGTTAGGGTGTTTTCTGGAGGCAGAGGAAACTCTGTTAGCAGAACTCCTATAACTTCTATGGGTCTGGCTTGTGAAATATGAGGTTTGGATAAGGAAATTATGGCAATATTTGGATAAAAAGTTTTAAAATTCATATAATTTGTCAAAAGTTATAGATTCGTATAATCTTTCTTGTTTGAATGTATTTATGTACTTTGTACAAAAAAGAATTTACAATTAAGTGTTTAAACTATTTAAAAACTTAGTAATTAACTTGTTTGAATACTGACTTAAGCAAAATGGGAACTTAAGTTTTTATTTTTTAAGTATTGGAGGAGAAAGTTTGAATCTGAATCTATTGTCAGGTTATATATGCACTTACCGGTGTATTATAGCTGCAAATGGAACCCAAAGTTAAATTAAATCAAACAAAAAAGCAAGAGAATCTCAAATGAATTCACATTTCGGGTCAGGATCTCAGTTAAGTTTTGGTCCTCAACGATGCCGTATATTGGACAGGTCTAGGAGGAAGAGAGGATTTTTTTTTTTAATTTTTTTTTATTACTAGCTAAAAGCGTAAAACAGCCATGTCCATACACAAATCAAATATTGGGGCTTGAATTTAAATACTCCATTTGTTTTTATTGTTTCTTAGTCTGAGATCTGTTTTGTACCCTGAGAAAGGGTTCTTCACCTGTCATTGTCAAGCCATCATCAGTATAATCTCTCAATCCCTTTTTTTTAACCTCCAAGCATGCTAAGCAAAATTATTTTGACAGTTGTTAGCTGTTTTAGTAATTTTCTAATAGTTGTTTGTGTGGTTTCATAAAATGCTAAAAAATTGAAGCTAATTTTTTATAAAATATTATTTTAACCTCTGAAAATTAATTCGAATGCTATGTTATCGAACAATAAAAAATAACTTTTGGCAAAAAAATTACACACTGCATTATTGCTGAACAGTCCTAGATCTAATCATATTTAAAAGGAATTGATCCTGAAATATGGGGAAATCGAGAGATATTAAATATTATGTATCCATTTAATGAATTTAAAATTTTAAAGGTTTTTTATTTGTTAAGTTTTGACCAAATAACTAATAATAAACAATTAAATTATAAATTTATAATACTATTACATATATTAATATTACCTGAATTTTATATATTAAATATAATAAAATCAAACCTAAAATTAAAATTAAAATCAAGACCAAAACTAAAATTTAAAAATAACTTAAATTAAATAAAAAAACCTAAATGTTAAAAAAAATTAATGGCAATAGAAAATACTTAAAGTTAAAAGTGTTGTCGGATTGAAGTCCTTATTGTAGTTGAATTGGTTGATAAAAAATAACTAAAAAATATAAAAAGGCAGAAAACATGGTTCAAACTCATATTACTTGACCTGAATTAAAAATTCATAACGACTTAGCTAACAAAGGAATTATGAAAAGTTAATCATCACAAGAAAAAATTTAAAAAAAAAAAAATCAAATTAATTTTAAAGCATCCCTTATATATATTTTAAGGAACTTTTTTTGCTTCAATTGCCAATTGTTATCCAATGCATGTCTACTTTCAACAACTTATAATTAATTATAGGACTTATGATAATTTTATTTTAACTAAAATAAGCTTCTTTTTATCTATTTATGGGAAAATCCTAATATAATTGTAGGATTTAGAATAATTTGGTTTTAACCAAAATAGCAAATTCTTTAAGACCTATAATGCCACAAATACAAGTTTATAAATAAGCACAGAAGAAATGTTGATGTCAAACTCAACTACTTCTTTCTTTTCTTCTATCAAATTCAAATACCACATCTATATATATGTATGTATATATATCTATACATATATATGATCATGGGATCTAAAATACTTCCAATAGTTTCTTTCACTATCATTATCATCATCTCTCATATTTCTAGTTCAGCTGCTTTTGGGCACTTCCATCGCGCGATGATCGATCAACCGTTTGGTTTTGTTGAACGTCTTCAAGGATTTCACATGGGTGAGAAGAACAAAAAGATCCACCAGCTCAAAGAATATCTTGAACAATTTGGTTATATGAACAAGAAAGGTTCAGTATCCTTGGACAGTAATAGTTTTGATGGTGATTTAGAATCTGCCATTAAAACCTACCAACTTAATTACCGTTTAGATCCTACCGGGACATTAGATTCTGAAACAGTTGAGACAATGATAAAACCTCGATGTGGGGTTCCAGATATCATCAATGGCACTAACAGAATGCAGAATGGCAATATAAGCCCTAGCTCTAGCCCTAGCCCTAGTCCTAGCTCTAGCCCTAATTCTTTCCATACAGTTTCTCACTATGCTTTCTTCCCAGGAACCCCTAAATGGGAAGCTTCTAAGTATCATCTCACTTACGAGTTTGGTCCTCAAACCCCACCTATAGCCATCGAGGTTATCTCACAGGCCTTCCAAACTTGGGCTAACAATTCACATTTCACATTTGAAAGGGGTACTGATATAACAACAGCAGATATAAAAATAAGGTTTCGTAAACGCGACCATGGAGATGGGATTCCTTTCGATGGGCGCGGTGGGATTCTTGCTCATGCTTATTCGCCACAAGATGGGCGGTTTCACTTTGATGCAGAAGAGAATTGGGTTACTGGTGCAAGAGAAGGTGCATATGACTTGGGAACCGTCGCTTTGCATGAAATCGGACATCTTCTTGGACTTGAACATAGTTCAGTTGAAGAGGCTATTATGTATCCAACTATTCCTTCTGGAGCGACCAAAGGTTTACATAAGGATGACATTGATGGCATTCAAGCTTTGTATAAAGCTTGATTTTTCTTTTTCTTTATTAGTTTTTTCCTTTTTCACTTTGTATTGCATTGATTCGTATTGAAAATAGACTATAACGATAGAGTTAAAATAATTAAATAAGGTGATATCTGTGTAATGTAAGAGAACATTTATATACAATAATATTGACAGCTATAAATTATTTTCAGTTTTTTTTTTCTAATAAATGGTTTTAAATATTTTCATTAATTTGATCCATGAATAGATTCGTAAACCCGATATAATCCATCATATAATATATCTCATATTAAATGGAATTTTCCATTAAATTTAACTCGAAAAAGAAAAGAAAATTTGCACGTGATTGAGATGTTGGTAACTATTTATTAGGGCTAATCATCAATTTCATCTCAGAATTTTTTGAGTGGTTATATTTCACTCTAAATTGACTTTCGTAACCTCGACACCCTCAACTCCCAACCTAATTACAATTATACCTAATTTGCTTTTTAAGGTGGAATTGCACCCTAAAAGAAATTGGAGCATTTTCATGAGCTTATCTATGTGTTGGAATTATATCCTAAAAGTAAATTAAGAACATATCTATGCATCCGTAGCAATAAGTTGAACTTCAGTTTTTATAATGCAAAAACAATTTCTTCATAAACAAAATGATACATAACATTAGAAAAAATTAGAAAGTATTTAACAATTTCTTTCAGTCTCATGTAAATTTACAGCGGTAATAAAGATATAAAAATGAATACTTATTTTTTTTTATCATGATGATAGCTGTACAACTTATATACAAGAAAGATATATTATCCACATCTCAGGTTCTTGAAACTAAATTAAGGATCATGCTACCCGGGTGTATGACAATAACTTTTCTTTTCTCTTCTTTTAAGGAGGTGTATTCCTCTCGGGCTGTACAACCTTTTTTGGCCTTTCTAGTAAAGTGGGCTTTTCCGGATATCAAACTTATGTTCTTATCTTTATAAGAGTTGAGTCGATTATCATTTCAAATAACACATTATTGATGATTAAAACTAATTTTTCATTTAAATATCATTTATTATTGAAAAAGAAAATAGAAATAATGTTTAAAAGTTTTTTCATTGATTGATTTTGTGTGGGCAAGTCTTATCCTACTTCGTGTATGCGCCATATATTTTTTTTTATTTAACCACTAATTTTTTTTTTTAAAAAAAAAACCTCTTACTAATATGATGAGAGTTATGAAAGTTATATTTTTTCAATATTCATATTAGTTTTACACATTAATTAAATAATATATAAGATTACCATAGACTCAATGCATAGACTCAATTAATCCAAACCAATTGAAATAGATATTTATATCTAGATCTATCTATATAAATATATTAAAACAGAATCTTAAAAGCTGACATGGCATTAATATAAAGTTTTGAAGTGTTGATTTGGTAAGGGAAAAATATATGAGTATAGGCTTTATAATTAAAAAATATTTCCATACCCATTAATTTTGATAATTTATTATACTAATTAAATTTTTAGTTTATAACTTTAGAATACTAAGGGTACTAAACTTTATAATTAAAGCTTTGAATATCCCGTTTAATTAGGTTAATAAAATTTTCAGATTGAAATACTTCTTTTCGATATACTATCATTGTTGGAGTGAAAACGGATTTACTATGAACTAATAATACGGTATCTAATTTTCTATCTCTTGCTTCATCTTTTTTTGGATCTTTTTATCGAATCTTTTGATCTTTTTTAATATTTAATTATTATATGAGTGCTGGTAATATCCAATGATACTAGGCTATTTGCGCATTCCTCGGTTTCCTTATATCTGTAACTCATGTTTGAATATTAATTTATTTACTAATCATAGTTTGTGATATCATATTTTTTTCTAGAAATTGATTAAGATATTAATATTATAAATATTTTATTACTCTAACATATTCATAATTTATGTGTTTTATATTTTTTTGATATTGTCATTCATAAGAGGTGACTAAGTAAATACTTCTACAAGAAGTTTTTGGAAAATTTTCTATTTAAGATAATAAAACACAAATTTATATAATCCACGCATCGCACGAATACATGACTAGTTTTTATAAAAATTATTCTCATTTTATTTTTTCCTAGTAAATGGTCTAAATATTTTCGTTTCAATAAAAAAATATTATTTATCGATTTAATTCATAGATGAGTCCATAGACTAAGTTTGAGAAGTTAACCCTACAAACAATTGATTTTTTTTAAAACTAGAAAGTATAATTCCTTCATATCGTAGAGTTTAAAAATTTTTTACCTACTCTCCCGGTAAGTGCATTTTTTAGAATCGAAGTTATATTTTTATCCTTAAGAGAGATTGAGTTTGTTTACCATCTTTGCGGATGCATTATTGATTAATATAAATAATCTTAAGCGGCATCCCATAAAATCTATTGAAGTTCCAAAAAGAAAATAAAAATCACACGTGGTTGAAATGTTAATATTTATTTATTACGATCTACTGGTGTTGTTTGTGGGTCGGTATAAATATCATAATTGAACCATTGAAACCAAACGCAACTATAAAAAAATTTTAAAATAGACTTTTAGTGGTAGCTTGGTTTGATTTAATTCGATTTGATAGTTTGATTTAATTTGATTTGACAGTTTTGACCGATTTAAAAGAAGAGAAATTAAACTTATTCATTTATCTAGTTATAAAAAAGAAAAAAAAAATTAACGTTATGCTAATTATTGAAAATGAATTAATACAAGTTATGATATAGAATACACATGTTTTTGAATAACTGTTAAAAGTTTTTATATTAATTTTTTTATATGTTTATTCTGAGTACGACATAAAAAAGACTATACATCCAATGAGACCCTAATTATAAAATTTATAAATATAAAATTTAAATTTTTGATTTATTTTTAAATTTATTACTTAAAAAAAATTATAAAAAGACTATAATTTTACTCGCATATAATTTGTACATAATATATATGTGTAATAATCTGTTTAAACTTTTTATAAAATAATTATATAACTTATCTAATTAATATAAAATTAATATTTAATTATTTTTTAATATAAACTAATTTTATAATTTATTATCCAATATAAATTAATCAATAAAAAGAAAATCTCATTAAAAATTAATTTAAATTATTTATAACTAACATTAAATCAAACTAAAATTAATTTTTATAATTATATATATAATGTTTTAGTTTGATTTGCACAATTTTGATATTAAAATCATAAACCGAATCAAAAGTTTAATTTTTAAGTTTTATAAAATTTAAATCAAACCATTAGTTTTTCAAAACCACATTTTAAAATCAATTTGGATCGGTTCAACATCTTTCCTATCTGCCAACAAGCAAGAAATGGACTAGGCAGGATTTCCCACGTGAGCCCAAAAGATAAGAATGGGAAGCCCATAAAGATTTACTAAAGTGAAAACGGACACATGCCTTCCCATGCCTGTTTGGGACCCATATCGCTGCTTCCTACCATTCTTCAAATCCACTACAACGCAACCCACTAAACAAAGATAAAAACTCGGCTTACTATTAGTCGATTTTAGTCAAAGTCAAAATCAAACATATTTGACGACCAATATTATGAACTTAACCAAAACTGAAACCCAAAAAGCTTCTTCCAGTTTATGAGATGGAGGAATCGGATCATAACTGGAATAGAATTTGTTCCGGGATCAGCATTCGGTTCAGTTAATTCAATTAATTCGGTCAATTCGATTCGATAAATAAATATTCAGTCAAAGAGGAATAAGTTTTTTGTGGTTGATTATAAGTTTGACTAAATTAATCAAATTAACCGACTATTAAAAGTACGCCATTTTGATTAGTGATTAGTAATTTTGGTTAAATTAGTCAGTTAATTAAGTTTTTATTTTCTTTAACTTCAGTGTTATTAGTGATCAAAACTAATTCGGTTAAAACGATTCAGTTAAATTCGATTAAAAAATTAAATGGATTAAGTACAAAAAGAAATTTGATTAATTTATTTCTATTATTAAAAATGTTACTCGAATTGGCCGAGTTAGTTGAACGCTCACCTTTATTTTTTTTATTGGTTTCTAACTAATTCAAATTTTCATATTTTAAATAAAAAATTTTTTTGATTAATTTATTTCTATTATTAAAAATATTATTTAAATTGGCAGAATCAGCCAACTGCTCACTCATAATTTGTTTATTGGTTTCTAACTAATTCAATTTTTCATATTTTTTTCCCTTTGTAAAATGTTCTTAAACCGAATCAGTCCCAATCACGAGAGTCGGTTTGGTTTCCGGTTCAGAATCAACCTTAGCTACCGGTCACACCCATCTCAGCACATCACCCATATATCCTGCACCTTGTTGCAGAGGATTTAGTTTTAACCTCTTCAACTTCTTTTCCTTTCTGTCAAGGAACTTGAAAGGGCAGATTGAACATCGAAGTCTCTGACTCTTTGTACAGCTGGTGTGGTGTGTGTCTATATATAGAGAGTTGGTTTTGGTCCTTATACACAGAAAATGGGCATCAAAATCTCTTTCAGTTGTTTCTATTCTATGTACATATTGTGTGTTTTTCTGGGAACCCAAGATTCTGCACAGGGAAGGTTGTTATTGATCAAGAAACCAGACCCAAATGATGCTGCTGCAACAGCTCGCTGGCTTGTTTCCCAGAATTCTTGGGGAGTGTTGAAGTAATTTTGCTACTTTTTTTGTTGACTTGATAATATTCTTCTCTCGTCTATTCATTTGTTCCTTATGTTATTTCTAAAAGAAAAGATCTTTATGCTGTGGTGGATTGGGTTAGAGTCCTATTTGTTTATAACTGATAATAGAAGGGAATAATAGGGGAAAGTTCAAAATTTTGATATGGAACTATTGGTTCTTTTAGTTTCATGTAGTTTATTGTTTACTGGGTCTTCTAAGATGAATCTTTAACTTTTTTTTTTTTTTTTTACTGGTTTTATCATTTTTTGTTTAGGAAGTTTAGATGTTGATTTGGTAATTGTGAAGTGTAAATATTATTGGGATTGAATGCTTAAACTTAATTGACATTTTTAATCTTGCAGTACCATTTCAACAGATTTGGGAGGAGCACCCTTTGGGTAATTTACTAATGTTTCCTTAATTTATTAATTTTTATTTTATTTCATTATTATGAAGTTCTTCCTCACTCATTTATAACTACAAGCTGTAATGGAACCAATTGAGACAGGCTTTTTATTGTTATCTTTCTTGGCTAAGATTCAGAATGCTATTATTATGCTAATTAAGTTTTGCAAGCTCTTCTTTCTACTTAAAAATAAAAGGATTTGCATTTGCTATGTGTACAACTATACCCAAAGCAAGGAGCTGCATATTCACGCTTTGCTTGATCAGCCTTAGGACCTCAAAGTAACCTTAGAGTTGCACCTTAAGTGCAAACATGTGATTCATCAATCAGGAATTGACCTTAATGCTTCTATTTGCTTGTTTTTCATTCTCTGATTAGAAACTCCAGACAATGTAATATTTATTGGATCCATGCCTCATGAATGAGCTACAAATCTGCTTGTTATCGAAAACTTATTTTTTCCTCCAACTTGTATACTCGAACATTCACAGAAGGGGCGTTGGGTTGTGTATTAATGGAAGGATTTTTGTTATTTAAATTCTCCCTCTCCCTTGCATATAACTGAAATTTCTTGCATTGTAGGAATGTTGTTTCATTTAGTGATGGGCTACCTGATAAAGGCCGTGGCGTCCCATACTTCTATTTGACTACTCTTGATCCAACTGCGAGAAATGCATTGAAAGACCAGAGGTCTTCACTCACAATCAGTGAATATCCTATAGGAACTTGTGGCAAAAGAGACCCTGAGAATCCCGCTTGTGCAAAAATTACCCTGACAGGAAAGGTGTGTTCCAAAATCAAATAACTGCTATTTTAATTTGTTTCTTTTTTAATTTTAGTAGATAAAAACTTGTATCAGTTGAGAACTTTGCTTGTGCAAAAATTATCCCATCGGGTAAGGTGTGTTCCAAAATCAAATAACTGCTATTTTAATTTGTTTCTTTTTTAATTTTAGTAGATAAAAACTTGTATCAGTTGAGAACTTTGCTTGTGCAAAAATTATCCCATCGGGTAAGGTGTGTTCCAAAATCAAATAACTGCTATCGATCTGACGCAACCTTGATAGAAACTAAACTAATAAAATACAGAGTATTTGCACTTCTAGATGGCCCTATTATATCCGACCCCACGCACTATTATCCTCGACTGAAATGGTGCGTCCGCTGACGCGGGTATCTGACCCTCTCCATCCCATCATCTATACCTCAATACAGCATACGAGAGCTCTGCATTATTCACGCTTTCTGCCGCTGTTGCATTTTTGTTTCTTGTTCTGTTTGATCAAGCCCTTAGGCACCTCAAAGCTTAACCTTTAGAGTTGCCCACCTTAAGTGCCAAAACATGTGATTCATTCAATCAGGAATTGACCTTAATGCTTCTTATTTGCTTTGTTTTTCATTCTCCTGCATTAGAAACTCCAGACAATGTAATATTTATTGGGTCCATGCTCTCATGTGAATGCAGCCTACAAATCTGCCTTGGTTATCGAAAACTTATTTTTTGCGCTCCCAGTAATTCCTCCAACTTGGTATACTTCGAAACATTTCACAGAAGGGGCGTTGGGTTGTGCCTTTAATGGAGGATTTTTGTTTATTTAAATTCTCCCTCTCCTCTGTGCATATATAACATGAAATTGTTTCTATTAGCCATGTGTAGTGAATGTTCGTGTCTTCTAGCAAGCATGCTCCGTGACAGCCTCAAATCAAGCTATCGCTTGCTGCGTGCAGTGGAGCCTTATTACGAAACTTCATCTTTTGTTTTAGTTGATGGGACTACCTGATCCATAAAGGCTCGTGGAATCCCCAGCAGTCCCTATACTCTATCTAATTTTGACTACTCTTGATCAATCTAGCCGCAGACAATGTCAACTTGAAAGTAGATTCCAGAGTCGTCTCCACTCACTCTAATCAGTGGAAACATAGCAAGACAATCGTTATCCCGTATAGTGAACTTGTGCCCTCAAAAGAGAACCCTGTAGATTCCCGCTTGTTTTTTTGACTCGTAACTACCATACTTATTTTATTCAGATTGCGATTCACTGACCTGCCACGTGTGCTCACTGATACAAACGCTGCTCTTGAAATATACCTCTATTTCAGCGTGGTCGCACTATTGTGCAGATATAACGACTTGGTGTAGCTACTCTGATCACATGCACATGCGACACTATACAAGGTAGGTGCCTCGTGTTTATCGGGCGATCTCACGATAAAGATCTTCTAAAAGATCTTATACATTGGACAGTCCTGCACTATTTCAAATTCGACTTTATCGCATTTGCTTCTAGTTCTTTCCAATTTAGATAGAGGTTATGAATCATACAACTACCATCCGATGCCTTCGATCGCACTCACGCTCCTGCGTCTGACTATCTGATCTGAGACCATTACGTCCGTCAATTGCAATTTCAAATGTCTCTGTGATGAGAATATGCATCTTGTCCCACCTTGTAGTAGCTGAGGAAAGCATCAATAAATAGACTGGAGTTCATTCATTATACTGACTGCGCAGGTTCGATCCATGTGATATGACGTATCGAACAGAACATCGATTACCTGCGCTATACCAGGTGTGTTCCAAAATCAAATAAACTTTTTTTTTTGCTATTTTTAAATTTGTTTCTTTTTTTAATTTTAGTAATAATATAAATGTAATCTAGTTTGGGCAACCTCACATTTTGCAAAACACTTACCTTGACCAGAAAGGTGTTCCAAAATCATAATAACCTCCATATTTTAATTTGGTTTCTTTGGTGCTAACTTTAGTATAAACATACTTGTTTTAGTGATTTATAGGTTCCTATTGTTACTAATTCTTGCGGATCTTCAATTTGCCAATAGATGTCTATATGCACAGTGCCGTGCTATCAGCAGTCTGTTTGTCTGTGTTCCTTTACATGTTCTATCATTAGTAGACACTGGATTAGTTTAATAAAGCTTGGGTCTGATTTACTTATTGTGAGAACCATTTTAGATAGGTGGACGCAAAACTCACAATTTTACTTATTCGATAGGTTCTTTTTATGAACTTCACTTCGTCATAGACTTAAATGCACCTCTAGCATCACATTTCCTCTTTTAGCCTGTCGTACCTTTTGTATCAAGTGGATTATAACCCTACAATCTTAGCCTACCAGATCTCGGGCAATATCTGTGATGACACAGGATTCATAGTGCACTCATGTACTTAAACCTAATATGTCGATGAAAACGCTACGTATCATGTACGGGCCAGTGGTCGCTAGACGTGATTACTACCATACACCATGCAACTAGTGGCTCATATGCCCAGCCTTGTTGCGTACTGCTGTCTTCAGTACTGATGCCTCGCGTTGTCTTAGTGGGCAGCATTGGCTTTACTGTCGTATTCGAAAGAAACTCCCAGAGACAGACGTGAAATTGAAGTGTTACTTCGTTTGGCCGAGTAGTCCTAGCAGCGTATAGATGCTGGCTATTGTAGGGCTGCCTACTCTAAGTCTATCTGAGTGATATAACGGTTAGTCAAGGATCTACTGCAGCAACTAACGCAAATGACCCTCCATAGCTATCCTATCGCCAGCAGCGACAACATTACGTGTCCTCAACAGCTCTCTATCGACCGTTGTTGCTGTATGGCAACTTCCCTTAGTCAGCTTTCCAAAACTAGCACTGGAAAGGCATCCTTAAACCATCATTCTCTATTGCTTGTGCACACATGGGTATCCTGCATCACTGACTATGATCCGATTAGTCGTCTGGTTGACGCTCACTACTTAAGATTTACTTGGGTTAGGTAAGATACTGAGCTATATAGATACTAATAGACAAAACGGTCTAAGGAAAAATATGACGAAATGAAAGTTCTAGGCCGGAAAAGGGAAAGATGCTCTAGTTATGATTAGTATTTTTCAAATCAACAGTAGCCATATGTTACACTGCGTTTTTTTTTTTTTTGACTCATCCGGCCATAACAAACTGGGCAAGCCTACATTATCTTGGTTGCTCTGATATGTGGATTGTCGAACCTCCTGCTTCTCCTCTGTGACGTTTACTGCATTTTTTCACTCAATAGATTTGCTTCATAACTGCTATTTTAATTTGTTTCTTTTTTTAATTTTAGTATATAAATAAATGTATCAGTTGGGAACCTCACTTTTGCAAAATTACCTTGACAGGAAAGGTGTTCCAAAATCAAATAACTGCTATTTTAATTTGTTTCTTTTTTTAATTTTAGTATATAAATAAATGTATCAGTTGGGAACCTCACTTTTGCAAAATTACCTTGACAGGAAAGGTGTTCCAAAATCAAATAACTGCTATTTTAATTTGTTTCTTTGTAACTTTAGTATAAAATACTTGTTTTAGTGATTTTATTAGGTTCCTATGTTACTATTTCTGTGGGACTAATTTGCCAATAATGTTATCACATGCTGTATCACAGGCATCTTGTTTTCTGGTTTCTTTACATTTCTAATTAGTAACATGGATTAGTTTAATAAGCTTGGTCTTTACTTTGGAAACCATTATAGGACGCAAACTCACAATTTTACTATTCGATGGTCTTTTTATGAACTTCACTTGTATTAGACTTAAGCACCTCTCATCTCTTTAGCCTGGATTTTTGCATGATTAACCCTCAGATAGCTGATAACTAAAGTCAGAAATGCTCATTGCAGCTGTACTCTTAATGCTTGTTATGGCACATTTTTACTGTCGATTGAAAAGACACAGGTGAATGAAGTGTACTTTTTGCAGGTTATATATATAGGTACAGATCTTGTACACCACCCACTTCCTGAACACCTTGTTATAGCAAACACTGAAAGCATTCTTAAACCTTTTATGTGAGGTCCTCATGATACCTTTCTTACTAGTTTTGAGTAAAGGAAAAAAGAAAGAAAATCTAGGGAAAAGGAAAAGAGCTTGTATGGATTAGATTTTCACAAAGCATTTACACTGGTTTTTTTTTTTTTGATATGGCATAACAAGGCAAGCTACATACTGGCTTTTGGATCTGCCTCTGATTTCTGTTTTACAAGATTTTTCAATTTGCAAATAGATGGGGTGAAATTCGGGAGTTTTTACAAAACCAGGAACAAAGAAACATAGGCTGTTGCCTTGCATTGTTGACTACAATGTTTACTAGATTTTTCTAGATAACTGTGAGCTAATTGGTGCTGCCTCATTTGATATGATAGTTGAAGTTACTCGAAGGAAACTCTAAGGAAGTGGAATTTGCTCGAAGTGCCCTGTTTACTAAACATCCTGAGATGGAAGGTAATTACAGAAAATTTTTGTAGTATAAGTAACATGTTAAACCAATAATTGGAATTGTGATACTGTAAACAATTGAAGCATCTGTTGTTTTTCCATCTTCTACTTGCTAAGATCATATAATGTATTTTTTTTTTTATTATTGTTGACAGGATGGCCTAAAGGCCACAACTTCCAATTCTTCAAATTAGACATTGAAGATATATTTTTGATCGATTGGTTTGGTGGTCCTAAACCTCTTACAATAGATCAATACCTCCAGTGTAATAAGTAAGTATACAAGCTAGGATGCCATGTTTGTATTACCAAGTGTGAATGGTCTCTAAAAAGAGAATAATGATTGTGCTGTGTAATTTTAAGAATGAATAAAAGTAAAATGATTCCTTATGTTCATAGTTTACTTTGGCTGATGCATTTCTTTTTTCCTAAACACGGGTCCGTGTCAATTTTAGGAACGAGGTTGCCGCTATTCGCTGAATACACCTCTGATCTCCCTTCCTCCTGGGTGATTGTCGTGGATTGTGAATGCAAAATGTGTATAAAAACTGCAGTGTAAATAAGCAGAGACAATTGTTGTATCATGTGTAAATAAGATAAGACAATTGTTCTGTCATTTTTTTCTAAACTGCAACCATTGTTCTTTTATATCCTATTATCTGCTGAAAATAAGCAGAAATATATTGTTTATTGTTGTGAAAGTTGTCCCTGTATACCCATTGAAGTATTTTCTTGTATTTGCTATAGAAGTTGGGTAGCTCGATTGATGAGATATCTGTTCCTTACTGTTAAAAATAGATTGTGTTATATTCATCTTTGCTTTCGACGACCATGATTAAGGTCGATAAATAAACCATCTTCCAGTTTGATGCTCTCCTCACCAATCATCAAAAGATAAAGTTGAGTTAAACATTGGTTTTTAACTTAAAATTTTAAAATTTTAATCCGTAACAACATAAATTTGAGTGAAGGGACGATCTATGCAAAGTCAATGATTTGATCTATAGAAAAAGCACTCCTGAGGAATTATATGGAAAAACACAGATCTCAGAAAATTAATTTTATATCCAAAAGTATATGGGCATGCTCGTTAGAAAATTTATTCAGAGCAATGAAAACTACATGTAAGGTATTTTCTTTTCTCGTGAATTATAATATTTTTTCTTTAATTTTGGCACTTGCTAATATGAATTAATTTTCTCTCTCTCTTTTTTTTTTTTTTTTTTTTTTTTTTTTTTAATATGAATTAAATTTTCTCTCTCTCTTTTTTTATTTTTCTTTATATTTATTTACTCTTTTAATTTTCACGTATACTGTATATGAAGTAAATTATATCCACGAGCCTAGTCACGTGACTAATGCCGTCCGCGGTTTTTTAGATTATTGCGTTTGGATTAGTTGAATAACTTTTAGCCAACGGTTGCCACTCGCCCATCTTCACTTTTTTTTTTTTTTTTTTTTATTTTTTATTTTTTAATTTTCACAGTATATGTATATGAAGTAAAATATATCACGAGCTAGTCACGTGACTATTGGTCCGGTTTTAGATTATTGGATAGTTTGATACTTGTTAGCCAACGTCCACTTCCCATCTTCACTTTCTCTACTCTCTCTGTTTCTCTCTGCTTGATGAAGTGAAATGCTTCTTTCACTTCCCCGCCTCTATCCTTCTCCCCCTTCTAAAACCTTACATAAACCCTCTTCTTCACTCTTTTCAATTTCTAAAACCCTAATCCTCCAAAACCCTCGGAACCCTCTCAAACCATTTATCAGGTGCTCTGCCACACCCGACTCCAAGACCCTCCCACACTCTGCCATCAAGCGCATTGCTGATAAGCTCCGCTCTCTTGGCTTCACTGAACATAACCCTAAATTACCAGAAACCCTAAATTCAGAGCTTGAGAGGGAGACAAAGCAAGTTGGAGAAATCTTTATTCCTTTGCCCAATCAATTGCCTAAGTACCGAGTCGGACATACTCTTGACCCGAGCTGGAGCACGCCGGAGAACCCTGTTCCTATACCTGGAGCGGGGAAAGCAATTGCGAGGTATCATGAGCTGAGGAAAGAAGTGAAGAAAGAGAGAGAAGCGAAAAAAAGAGAGCCTAAAGTTCCGACATTGGCGGTATTGAGTTTACCGGCGGAGGAGCTGAGGAGGCTAAGGACAATCGGGATTGCAGAGAAGAGGAAGTTGAAGGTAGGAAAAGCGGGGATTACAGAAGGGATTGTTAATGGGATTCATGAGAGGTGGAGAAGAGCAGAAGTTGTTAAGATTGTTTGTGAGGATTTGTGCCGGATGAACATGAAGAGGACTCACGATATGTTGGAGGTTAGAATTATTAACACATTTGATTTCTGTGGAATTAGCAATTGAATGCGAGTGGTCGAATAACGTTCATTTTTTTTTTGTTGATATTTTTTATATTTGAATAATTTGAATTTATATTGAAATTATATATATATATAGTTCTCAATACAGCCAACAAATTCAGTTTTCAAGGTTAAGCTAACACGCTGGAGATCTTGAATTATGATTCTTGAGTTACCAGCCATGATGTCCATAAATTTATTCACTGCACCAACATTCTATGCATCTCAGAATTTTAACATTTAATATATATGATATATCCTAAATTTATATGGTGGTATTATAATACGGTGTGATTTTTGCAGAGAAAAACTGGAGGTTTGGTTGTTTGGAGGTCTGGGAGTAAAATAGTGTTATATAGGGGGGTTAATTATAAGTATCCCTACTTCTCACCAAATAATATTACAGCAAATGAAACTTCTAGTGATGCTGTGCATGATAACCATGTGGATTGTGAGGATGATAAAATGGGGAGCTGCTCATCTAGAGCTAATAGTTTAAGGTCTTCTGGATCAAGTGAAACCAATAAGATGGTTCGACCTACATTAGTACAAGGTGTTGGTTCCCCAGATAGAGTACGATTTGAATTGCCAGGTGAGGCACAACTTGCAGAAGAGATTGACAGTTTGCTAGATGGGCTAGGTCCACGCTTTACCGATTGGTGGGGATATGAACCTCTACCAGTTGATGCTGATCTTCTTCCTGCTATTGTTCCTGGATATCGGAAACCATTCCGCCTACTTCCATATGGTGTCATGCCTAAACTGACAGATGATGAAATGACCGCATTAAGAAGGCTAGGACGGCCCTTGCCTTGCCATTTTGCATTAGGTGAGAGTGACTTCTGATTCCACATGAAATCTTCTGACTTAGTGTTCAAACATTTTCGTCCTTTTCATGTCAGGTAGAAATAGGAAACTTCAAGGATTGGCTGCTTCGATTGTCAAGCTTTGGGAAAAATGTGAGATCGCTAAAATCGCAGTTAAGAGAGGAGTACAGAATACTAATAGTGAAATGATGGCTGAAGAGTTAAAGGTTAGTGGTGTTTGGCCAATTTATTCCTTTTATTTTAGCTGCTATCAATTCTTGCTCTCAACCATATGGTGCTTCATCATGTTTTACTTCAAATGATTTTTTTTAATCTCATGGGTGCTTAGATTTTCCAGTTCTTTTAGGTTTATAATGCTGTACAGTCTTTATTTGAAATTGTTAAAAACCAACTAGTTTGGGATGAAAGCAAAGGAAACCAACCAGTTCTTAGCGACAAACACAGCGGATGGAACCAACAGATTCACATGGCTAACCCAACTAGTTTGGGATTAATGCTTAGTTGTTGTTGTTGTTTGAGGAAACTGCCAACATTAGTCACTCTAATTGGAAGAGTCATTTAGATTTCTTTACTCTTTCTTATGTTGGTTCAAAAGCTAGTATCCAGCTTTGAGAATTGTAACAAGATGACCTGCAGAAGAATTCACATGTAATAGTGCAACCATTCGCGTCACTTTCCAGTGCCTAGTATCATTAACTCAATACTCTAGAAGTAAAATTTGTTCTTAGTTTTGTGTATTTGTCTTTTGGTAAATGTTAATGTATTGGCTCTTTGTTTTGGAGTCTTCACTGTGTTAATCATGTTCATGCTTCTCCACATCTTTTTATCTGCTTGCTTCTTCCTACTACTTGATTTTGGTAGTTTAGAAGTGTAAGTTCTTGCTCACTTCCAGTAACAATTATCATTTGGTCAAAAAGGGTTTCCGAGTAGATCTTGGAGCTGGTGGTGCATTTATAAGATGACTAGTGGACTTATATCATGTACTAGCCATAAAAAAATTAATAGATTAGAAATAATATATGAATTCATGTACCTAACATCAAATTGTAATAATAATAAATAAAATTGTGAATATCTATTTTAACTTTAAATTCTGTTGCAGTGGCTGACAGGTGGAACTCTCCTGTCACGGGATAGGGAATTTATTGTGTTGTACAGGGGAAAAGATTTCCTACCATCTGCTGTTTCTTCTGTGATAAAAGAACGAAGAAAGTATCTAATTCATGGGGATAAACAGAGAAGACACCAAAGCATAGCTGGTGAAACTTTAAAGGAGGCAGAGGACATCAAAATTGAGACTATAAGTTCTGGATCTAATGATGAATTTAATAGCGACAATGAGCAGAGTTCTGATCTCCTTAAAGATAAGAAGCTGAGGTCCTTGGAGGCAGCCATAAAAAGAACCAGCATCAGATTGTCTATGGTATGATTTTGTCATTTTGTGAAGCTGCTATAGATACTCTTGTTAAGCGCATATACATGACCGTATTGATATTATACATGACATGTTGCTGCAGGCACTAGAAAATAAAGCAAAAGCAGAAAAACTCCTAGCTGAGCTGGAGAATTTGGAGATGCCTCAACAACCAGCAATAGATAAAGAGGGTATAACTGAAGAAGAAAGATATATGCTAAGGAAGATTGGCTTGAAAATGAAGCCATTCTTATTATTGGGTGAGTTATGTGATATAATGCAAAATATCTTGGTCTCAAAGAAAATTCTTCACAAGTTCTTGTTTTTTCTTCAGGAGTAAGGGCATTTTCATTCCACAAATTTGGATTCTGATGAACATTCTTTTTTCATTGTCAGGTAGGCGGGGAGTTTTTGATGGAACAATTGAAAACATGCACCTCCATTGGAAGTATAGGGAACTTGTGAAGATAATATGTAAAGAGAGAAGCTTAGAAGCTGCTTATGAAGTGGCAAGGACCTTAGAAGTGGAAAGTGGTGGAATATTAGTTGCAGTTGAAAGAGTCAGCAAGGGTTATGCAATTGTTGTATATCGTGGAAAGAATTATCGGAGGCCTGCTCGTTTGAGGCCTCCAACACTCTTGAGTAAGAGGGAGGCATTGAAGCGCTCTTTAGAGGCCCAACGTCGAGAGGTAAAATTTACTTTGCATCAGCAGTGTATATGTCTGGCCCCATAAGCATGCATTTTTATTACAGTTTGCAGGTGTCAACCTGTTGTTGATAAGTATGTTTGGGGTTCATTTTGTTTTCTTTTGAACTTTTGAGGGCTGATAGCTGGAAACTTTCATTCGAGAGGCCAGTTTTCCTGGCTTATGAGCCAGACCACAGCATTATCACCTATTCAATTATACTATTTGGATTTTTATTCTTTTAATATTGGGTTTTGGGCCAGTTTGATTATTTCTTTTCTAGTTTTCGAAATTTGATTATTTGCAATTTGCTAAGTTTCTAATTTTATTTGTTTCGTCTTTTCCTGGATGCAGTCATTGAAGCTTCATGTTTTGAAGCTTACTAGAAATGTAAATGACTTGAAACTTAAATTGGTGAGCTATCTAATTTTTGTTACGGGAAACTTCTGTTGTTTATTTTAGTTAATCATATGATAACTTTGCCAACAAAGTTGATATAAAGCCATATATTCTGTTTTGGACCAGGCCAAAGACGAGGAAGCACATAGCAAGCATTCATTTGATGAAGTAAGATTTCTGGATCTTCACTCTCTCTCTGGCATATAGATATATGTATATATGCGTGTTTGAATATTTAGATTTTAGTTATATGTTTTGACCAAAAAATGGGGACCTCTTCCATTTTATAAACCGTCAACCCCATTCGAGTTGTCTAAACTCCTGACCTCAAAGGGGAAATCCCAAGTTCTAGCAACTGTAATGTTTTTATGGGAACACACACTTTAATTGGATGTCTGTTTCATCCTAAAAACTTTTGTCATAATCTAGGTTAAAGAAGATATGAACATGATGGAATCGGGAACCCATGTGAGATCATATCCAGTCATTCCTGCTCACTGTAAAGGGGATATAGAGCTAAGCAGTTTACAACCAAGATGCTTGAAAGGGAAAAAAATGCACTTAGTAAGAGTGTTTTCCACTATTTTTGAGTTCTAAATTTGAGCTTTATTTAATTTGAATTGATTGTTGTATAAAACTTTGTGCACAATCATTTCAAACCACATACAAACGAAGTTGCTTTATATCATTTAGCTTATAACCTTTTGCCCTTTCTATTGTTGTTAATGTATGTGACTTCTAATATAGTGTTTGGCATGATTACTTAAGACTAGAGACGACGATGAAGCTGATTCAAACTCCAACTCCAACTCCAATGATGATGGCAAAAACATACGACCTGCACAATGGGCTGATCAAACTGATCCTTCTTTGCTCTTTAGTGTGAACGCGATGGGGAAAAGTGAATCTAAGTCTTCAATGGAATCAGTTGGCCTGGAAGCCCATGAGAGTCTATTTGCTACTATGAATGATGGAGCTGTCGACTCAACTTCTTTCCCAGTTAACTTTGAGGTGATAACTAGGATCCCTTCTATGTGTTTTATATTGCATTCTTCTTATATATAGTGTTTGGCATGATTACTTAAGACTAGAGACGACGATGAAGCTGATTCAAACTCCAACTCCAACTCCAATGATGATGGCAAAAACATACGACCTGCACAATGGGCTGATCAAACTGATCCTTCTTTGCTCTTTAGTGTGAACGCGATGGGGAAAAGTGAATCTAAGTCTTCAATGGAATCAGTTGGCCTGGAAGCCCATGAGAGTCTATTTGCTACTATGAATGATGGAGCTGTCGACTCAACTTCTTTCCCAGTTAACTTTGAGGTGATAACTAGGATCCCTTCTATGTGTTTTATATTGCATTCTTCTTATAACTTCTGGTTATGGATTGTCTATGGGGATATCAGTCGGAGGAAAGGATCTTCTTCCACTTATATCATGTAGTTTATGGCTTTTCATCTGTCCTATTGTCTTTAACGTATGTGACTTCTAATATAGTGTTTGGCATGATTACTTAAGACTAGAGACGACGATGAAGCTGATTCAAACTCCAACTCCAACTCCAATGATGATGGCAAAAACATACGACCTGCACAATGGGCTGATCAAACTGATCCTTCTTTGCTCTTTAGTGTGAACGCGATGGGGAAAAGTGAATCTAAGTCTTCAATGGAATCAGTTGGCCTGGAAGCCCATGAGAGTCTATTTGCTACTATGAATGATGGAGCTGTCGACTCAACTTCTTTCCCAGTTAACTTTGAGGTGATAACTAGGATCCCTTCTATGTGTTTTATATTGCATTCTTCTTATAACTTCTGGTTATGGATTGTCTATGGGGATATCAGTCGGAGGAAAGGATCTTCTTCCACTTATATCATGTAGTTTATGGCTTTTCATCTGTCCTATTGTCTTTAACGTATGTGACTTCTAATATAGTGTTTGGCATGATTACTTAAGACTAAAGATAACCATAAAGGTGATTCAAACTCCATTGCAAATGATGACGGCGACGGCATACAACCTGCTGAACAGGCTAATCAAACTGATCCTTCTTTGCTCTTTGATGTGAATGGGATCGGGAAAAGTGAACCTCAGTCCTCAGTGGAATCAGTTAGCATTGAAGCCTGTGATAGTCTATTTATAAATGATGGAGCTGTCAAGTCAACTTCTTTCCCCGTTAATTTTACGGTGATTACTAGGATCCCTTCTATCTCTGTTTTATATTGCATTCTTCTTATAGCTTTTGATTGTGTATTGTTTATAGGGATATCAGTTAGAGAAAAGGAGGTCGGCGCCGCTTGCTAATGCTGAGCATTGTATGCCTGGCAATGAGATGATTAGGTCAAAAGTTGAATCAACAAGTGAGGTGGAAGAATCGGTTTCAATTTCAGTGGAAAAGGAGACGCCTCCCAAGGTTATCCATCTTTCTAATAGAGACAGGCTTATGCTACGAAAGCAAGCCCTCAAGATGAAGAACCGCCCAGTGCTTGCAGTAGGTATTTCTACTTTCTCTTGTGGTTTTGTATGTTTTTTTCATTTGGCTATATTTTTTCCTATTTTTGCATTTTTTGAACTTAAAAGATGTGATAGGTAACAGGTATAGTCTTATTTGCTCTAGGACTACATGATTTAGTCCATGGAGTTATATTCCTACATACATGAAATATGCGTGTAATTCTCTTCTATTATGATGATGAGCAATTTGCTCCAGTCCCCAGACTTTCATGGTAAGATGCAGATTTATTGATAAATATTATTTTCTTGATTTCTAGAATAGAATAAGAATTAATGATGACTTACAGTTTCTCTTCTTGAAGTGGTTAATTTTGCTTGGAACAAACTATATTTTATTAGTAACATTCAGATTACTATATTGGTTTATGAATTAAGAGTTAAATGAAGATAGTGGCTGGTTACTTTTTTAAAGGTCTATGTCTTGAGTCAGTGAACAAAGAGGATTTTGTTAGGTGGGGTGGAATTTGATCAAATTTTGCATTATTGTCTTGGCTTGACAAGCATTTTTCATGAAGAAGTTGCTTTAGTTCTTAAGGGTTCAAACTTCCTGGACTAGAGACTAGAGAGTTGTACTCTGTCCTTTCAATCCAAATGGAAAGGAGTTAAGAGCAATGCGGTTTGATCTCAATGTGTTTTCATCAAAGTGAGCCCTAGTTATTAAAGGTGCGCCACCGCTTAAGGCTCAAGGGCTTGCACCTCTACAGTCCTCAGGCGGATGACTTCACTTAGGCTATTGCCTCTGGGTAGAGGACTGTGCCTTTTTTGCCATATTTACTTTCTATTTTCTCCTTTTTTTTTTTTTTTTTCATTTTCTTGATTCTACTCTTTTCTATCTTAACTCCAATGTGTGTTTCTTTCCATGTTTTTCTAATTTCCAATTGTGTTTCTTTCCATGTTTTTCTAATTTTCATTTTTTTTTTAACATCTTTTAAAACATTAATTTTCAGATTTTGTGTTCAAAATTTTTTTTTATTTTTATTTTTTGCATTCTCAACCTTCACTTTAGCCTAGCGCTTCACCTGGGGCTAGTAGATAGGCTTGTTATGTAGCCAAAAATATTTGAGTGGCTCAGTTGCACAAGGAGAAGTAGGAGATTGTCCTACATTTTTTTTTTTTTTTTCATTTTCTTGATTCTACTCTTTTCTATCTTAACTCCAATGTGTGTTTCTTTCCATGTTTTTCTAATTTTTTTCATTTTTTTTTTAAATCTTAAAACATAATTTTCAGATTTGTGTTCAAATTTTTTATTTTTATTTTTGCATCTCACTTCACTTAGCCTAGCGCCTTCACCTGGAGGCTAGTGCATAGGCTGTAGTAGCCAAAAATATTGAGTGGCTCATTGCAAAGAGAAGTAGAGATTGTCCCTATCAATAAACATGATTGTAAAAGCAATTGCAGAGAGAAGATGAAAAAAGAGACTTAATACGAAGAGAGTTTCCATTGAAGAAAGCGATTAATAAAGATACCATTGAAGATGGATTGAAGCTTTGATGGAGAGAAGAGTGAGAGAGGAAGAAGCATGATGAACTAAAAGGGGTATCTGTGAGGGAGATAGAGAAGAAGAGAACAGTATTGATCGGTGGAGAGGAGAGGAGATTGAGAGAGAGAGAAATGGGGCGTTTTAGAGAAAGAGATAGGGAGGAGAAAAAAACAGTGAGTTTTGGATTTTTGGATCAAGTTAACCCGGGTTTAGATGTGGGCCCACTAGAATATTTTTTTATTTGCAACCTTAATCCGAATTTCATTCTGGGCTGCTAATATATTTAAGTTTCAAAATGGGATATCCGGTATACAAAGGTGAATTTAGAGTGATTTTGCAATAAATCGAAATGTTTGGAGTATTTTTGTAGGTTTAGCCTTTCAAGAAATAATAGGCCAGCATCTTTCATACTACTATTAAAAAAAAGACTGTTTTGAGCAACATGGTTGTTTTAACATGCCTTGCATTGGATAATATCTTGAAATAATGCAATGAATAAATATTAAATATTAAAAACTACAAAATAGAAAAGTAGTAATATATAATGAACTTATGATTAGATTTTCCAAAGTTGTACGTAGGGATGACCATAGTTTTGGAACCGTCGGTTTTGGTTTCAGAAACTGACGGTTCCGGTTCTTTAACGATTCCAAAATCGGCGGTTCCGACGGTTCTCCGATTGATTTTTCGGCGAAATCACATAATTATAAAATAAAAAATTAGAGAACATTTTTTCTTGTTGAAAATTTAAAATTTAAATATTTATGAAATAACTTTTAGAAAAAACTTTAAGAAAAAATAAAAAAAAGGCTTAACTTAATTTATTTGTTTTAAAAAAAGGCTTGAACTTATGGACTTGAACTTAATTTATTTTTTTAGAAAAATGCTTGAAATTAATTTATTTTTTTAATTGAAAAGGGGTATTTAGAGCAAATAAAAAAAAATCAACTTTCCACAAATATCCTTAAAACGTACCGTTACATAGTTATTAAGAGGGTTAATTTTGGAATTTTACAAAAATATTTGAAAAAAAAATGCTATTAAAACCGGGTGGAATCGCTGGTTCGAACCGTCGAAACCTCCGATTCTAACCGGTTGGAAAAACTGCCGGTTCGCGGTTCCTCAAAGGTTGGAACTGGAACCGGACCGCGAAGTCTTCATTCCAGTTTCGGTTCCGATTCCAAAAACTGTGAAATGGCCACCCCTAGTTGTAAGAAATAAATATTAATAATGATATATAATTAGTATGATTACATTTAGTGATTTGATGATATATAATTAATATGACTAGATTTAAACTTAAAAAATAAAGAAAAAATCAAAATTTCCGAGGAAAAAAAGAAAAAGAAAAATTGAATACTAAATAAATAGAGCCAAATTTTGAACTTTGTTTCAGCTCTAATATATATATATATATATATATAAGACTTAAACAAATATTTTGAGGTAATGTAATAATTAAAATTTTAAATATTAAAAACTACAAAATAGAAAATAGTAATATATTACGAACTTACATATAGTTAATACGATTACATTCTCAGTTTATTAGTTGGGGACATGAGTGTGTTTATGAATTATTAACTACAAATTACAATATTCACAATATATAGGAATGTTGCTTTTTAGGAGGAATCCTCAGGATTTGAACTAGAGACCTTTGTTTTTCTTTTTTTTTCTATTTTTTAAATAGGGTAGATGTGGATTTCCAAAGAGAATACTGAGCTAGATGGAAGGTAGACAAAGGAGTTAAGTTTTATGTCAAGTCTTGCTATATACATAGGAGGACCTATTGTTAGAAGGATGAATTTCCTGTATAAAGTCATTGAGAAGTTTTGTGCTCCTTCCACCATTGTCTTTTTCCTGGGAGATATATTAAGGTGCACTATGTCTAAAAACTGTGGGAGCCGGCCTATGGAATTTCAGGAGTGCCTGCAAGGTTGATAGGAAGGAAGTTTGAAGCTTAAGAGGGATATTTTATGAAAAAGAAGAATGGTACATTAGATTATAGTCCCTATTGCTGATTGTATGGAGGGAAAAGAATAGAAGGGCTTTGGAGGGAAAATCTTGGTCTCTCAGCTGTAAAGAATAGTTGGTTCAATAGTTACCTTTGGAATAGCTGGCAAGACCTTGTAGATATAACAGGCTGCCTTAGAACTTTCTGAAATTTTATCATGGATGTAATTTTCCTTTTTGTTTACTCATATCCTATTTTCTGCACTTCAATAGTTTATTATTTTCTTTGCTTCCAAAAGAATTATATGCTTCCAGTTCCAATATCTGCTCCTAATCCCAGTTTTCCAACTTATCTCTTTCTCACTCTTATTTCTGTGCAATTAAGCACTGCCATGGGAACTCATTACGCTCTCTGCCACTGTTACTCCTTACCAGGGAGAAGCAACATTGTCACTGGTGTTGCAAAAACAATCAAAGCTCACTTTCAAAAGTATCCTCTTGCTATAGTAAATGTTAAAGGCAGAGCCAAAGGGACGTCAGTCCAGGAAGTGATTTTCCAGCTGGAGGTCCGCACAATACAATTCCTGTCTTTTGTTGCTGACACTAAACTTAGACCAAACTGGATGAACTGATGAAGTGTTCTGCTTCTGTGAATTTTGCAGCAAGCAACAGGTGGAGTTTTAGTCTCCCAGGAGCCTAGCAAAGTAATACTTTATCGTGGCTGGGGAGCATTTGATGAACCTAACCACAAATTTAAGTATAATGCCCAAAATACAGGGAGTCCATCAGTAGGTGGAGGCAGGTCTCATCATGCTGTCTCACCTGAGCTGATGGCAGCAATCAGACTTGAATGTGGTCTGAGTGAAACCAAGAGTGATGGCAAAATCCAAGCTGAAATTTGAGGTTGTCTTAAAGGTATTATTAAATCTATATATTTGTTTATATTGGAGAATGCATTACCAAGGCATAGTGAGAGGTTCATCTTTTTTCCCCCTCTGAAATTCTTTTTTTTTGTGCAGGAGAGCGCCTTTATCTCAGATCCATGATAATTCAGCTACGTTGACACATGAAATAAACAGTCGGTAGTAGGATCTTACATGCATTGTCATAACGTAGATGATATGTATGTTCAGTTCATCTGATGCCTTCTATCAAACAAGAGAGAGTGGTGTCTTGGAGAAGTCAGCTAGTGCAGCTGCGATGTGTTCAGATTGCTCCGTTTTGTGCAAAATCGTTAACGGTGAGAAGTCCCTTTTCTTTTTGTTATTTTTGGTCTACTTGTAAATACAACAATAATTGATACATATGCACATAACCAAATAAAAGTTCAGGTTGAAACCCTCAACTTTGCAACCTTAAAGTTTTATTTGTTTACGTTGAGCCTTTTGAACTATTTTTTAAAATGACATTGAGAATTGATTTAACGCTCTTCGGCTCAATTTGCAAGTTAAGCATTTGCAATGTCAGATTATATAATTTTCGCGCTGTAGCCCTTAAAGATAAATTTTCCACATCGACTCTTTGATCCATTTTTTCTAGAATTATATTTGATTGTCGTTTCAAGTCAAATTAGTTGATATGAGTTGATGAGCTCAACTGTTTAAATTCAGATTTTGTCAATGAGTTATTAGGCTACTGATGTTTATTTCATAGACATTGAAGGTTAAAGTTACCACATTCTCTAGAATATTTTATATATCAAACACTAAGGGCGGGTCTACTTGGTGAGTAGAGGATCATCGTCCCACTGGATCTTTGAAAATCTAATTTTTCTTCAAAAAATTTATTAAAATTTTTAAAAATGTATATATATTAATCCTCAAAAATTTTATTTTTATTTTTTGACGTGCTAGAAACAACATTTCCCTCTGCTGTTATTCTGCACTAGCTAGAAAAGAACACGTCGAACAAGTTAAGTTTTTAGTGCCACTGGATAGAACCGACACAGAATGTAACTAGCAATAATTAGATTCCCAGACATTTCCAATTTCCTCAAACGAGCAACTTGTTCACCGGTACCACCATTGGTTGATTTATATGTAGCTGATATGGTTACTCCTAAATGGACTGATTTTGGAATGGAGTGGACTTGTGAGAAATGTAATACGAACCGTCGTTTATAATTTGTATACTGTTTTGGTTTTCCATCAATATATATAAGCATATCCTACATTGAGTGGTTTCACATCTATAGAGCAAAGATTTCTAAACAGCTTATCTCATGCAGATATAAAAATGAAAAACAGCTTTGCTTACGTGTCAAACTGTTTTAGTAATAGGGATAAAGATGTAAAAAAACTAAACATTACATAAATAACTTTTATAAAATATTATTTTAACTTTTAAAATTTAATTTAAATGAATATTATAAAAAGTTGCATTTAGCATTTCAGAGCTTTTATCTACAAAGATACCAGCAAATATTAAACGGATCAGTTTTAATTTTTTTTTTCATGCTTTTATTTCAAAGGGAGTGTCCCACAAACCATCACACAAACGGAAAACAAAAGACAACAGTGATTATACTGCAATAATTGCAACCAAACAGTAATTACAGGTCTTGGAGTATGTTAATCATAGACTCACGTGCTCTGCACATGGCTTCCAAAGGTTGTGATTTAGGCATAGTTCCGCCCGTACCTTCAGTCATATCTATTAGCTCTTCACTGGGTCTTCCCCATTCAAAGCAATGAATTAATTCTGCCAATGCTAAACCCATTACTCTATTTGCAAGACCAGCTCCAGGGCAAGCCCTTCTTCCCACCCCAAATGGAATCAATTTATATGCTTCATTACCTAAACCTTCAAACCTCTCAGGCTTGAACTTTGTTGGGTCACTCCACACCGTTGGATCCCTATGAATAGCCCAAGCATTGACCAGCAACATTGTGCCTCGCGGTACATAGTAGCCTCCGATGGTACAGTCATCCGACGATTCATGTGGCACCAGAAATGGTGCTACTGGATATAGTCGCAGTGTCTCATTTATAATGCTTTGCAGGTATGGCAACTTGGAGAAATCGGACTCGTCGACTAATCGGTCTTGACCAATAATTTCGTCTAACTCAGCTCTAGCCTTCTTTAACACCTCAGGATTGTTAAGAAGAAGCGACATTGCCCACTCCATTGTTACTGAAGATGTTTCCGTGCCCCCAATTATCAAATTCTACATGAAAATTTAAAATGTTAAATTAACAATGGTATTCGTTCTTTTGCTTAATCTAAGTGTAAGAATGCGTTTGACAACAATTTTTTAAGTAATTTTTAGTACGGTAATAGTTTTTAAATTAATTTTTAGATGTTAAGATGACATCTTCTTTTAGTTTTATCAAAAACCATTCAAACACTAGTTATTACCTAGTCAAACAGTTAAATGTTGCTAAATCAGTTATAATTCTGCTGAACAGACTCTAATCACTGCTTAATCAAAGGATTGCTTATTTAACTATTCCGGTAATTAAGATAGCACAGCATACCAGTATAAGACCTTTGATGATCTCATCGGAATAGCTCTTAGGTTCAGATTCTTGTAAAGATAGCATATTATCTATCAATGTCTTAGACCGTCCTCGTTCCTGTGAGGAGGAATTCTTGTTTTTCCGATGCTCATCAATTAAACCTTGGCAAAATTCATCCCAATCTTTATGCAACCTAACCATCGTTTTCTTTAGCCCTTTGAAATCAATCCACTGTAAGAATGGCAAAAAATCTCCTGGATTTGATGCTCCGCTCACTGCAGTAGTCTCTCTTGCAATATCTCCAAAGCGTTTAGCCACCTCCAAATTCTCCACTTCTGCCCCGAAATATCTCTTCCCTGATATCATCCTCAATATAATGTTAAAAGACAGGCCCGAAAGCCTCGATCTCATCTCCATCTTCGTGAAACTTGTCTGTGAATTTGCAAATAAATTCTTAAGCAAGATTCTAACTTCATCCTGTCTAATGCTCTGGAAACTGTTAAGTCTAGTAGTTGAGAAAATTTCAAGCGTAGCAATACGACGGAGGTTGCGCCAGTGGTGGCCATAAGAGGAGGTACCAAGAGTGGTGTAGTTATAACCTATATATTTGAAAGCGGCAAGGTGAGGCCTATTGGCAAAAACTACGTCGTTTTTGTTGAAGCAATCTTCGAGCAAGTTTGAGGATGATATAATGACAACATTACGGGAACCGAAGGAGAGGGATATGATTGGACCATACTTGTTTGACATGTTCTGCAACGTTCTGTGGAGAGGTTCTTTCATGAGATAAAGATGGCCAATTATGGGAATTGCAGGTGGGCTTGGTGGAAATTTTTTGTGCGATGCTTGCTTCAATGAAAAGAGTTTAGAAAGAAGAAAGATTAAGGAGAAGATAGAAAGGAAATAAAGCCATATCTCATCCATATTGGCTGTATGTGATGTGGAGCAGGACTAGCTAGAGCAGCCGTTTTGTTTTTATAATAAGGCCAGGGTCACGAAAGAGTAAAGTTGGATTGAAAGACTGTGTTAAATAATAGTTTTTTAAATATTTTTTTTAAAATGCTAAAAGCTATTTTTTTTATAATGTTTAATAATATAATTTTTAAATTAATTTTTAAAAATTAAAGTATCGTTCTATGAAAAACTATTCAAACGCATTTATTAGTTATTCACAAGGCAAAACGCTATTACAAACAGCTTATAAAACAGTTAATTTCATCCAACTCGGAGCATTCTTGCTTTTGACAAAGTTTCCATGAGCCTTTCTGTTTTAGCCACATACTCATATCTGATCAGGTCCTATGCACCTGCGAGACAAAGACTAGTGATAGATTGGAATCTCTGTATTTTTCTTTGACAAGGGATTTTGTTGGCCCTGGATCTCAGGGCGAAAGAGTGTCCTTCTTGGGATGAAAGTTGTTTCTTCGGTGATTTTTGTCCCTTTGGCTTTGATCATCTATGGTTGCGGTGTATATATTTTACAGAAACGTGAAATCAAGAGCGTTTACCTCTTCAATTAATACGTGTATAACATACTAATTATCTTTTTTCATCAATTCAAAATTAAAGTCTTGATTAACAAATGTGATAAATTCAAACGATCATAATTTTTTTCTCCTCAAAACTATCACATTTGTTGAAGTTTTGATTAGCAAATGTGAGAAATACTTCCTCTGTTCGAAAAAGATAGTTCATTTTCTATTTTCACACATATTAAGAAATATTTTTTTTTTTGAAAGAGATTAAGAAATATAGTTAAATGATAATCTTATTTATATAATTTTCCAATTATATCCATCTTAAATAACACAAGAGTAATTATTATATTTGAATAATAAGTAAGAATTAATGAGAGTTATTAAAAATAAGATAAAATTTAATAAGGATACAATAGATAATTTAAGGATTAATTATAATAATAAAAAAAAAGAAATTGGACTACATTTTGGGACAAATCAAGGTGAGCTATTTGTTGGGACAAGAGAGTAATTTTTTAAAATAATATTTCTCTCCTACATTTTGTTTATTATTTAAATATATATTTTCTCAAAGAAAATTTTTAAATATCCATGATAAATTTCATATATATGAGGGTGGTATATTAAATGAGTACGACTTTATGTCATACTAACCATTAGACCTTGAATATAATTGAGATAAAATAATTAAGAGAAACAGTTAGAAGTCAAATCAAAATAGTGAGAAAATAATATATATTTCCTTTTCTCACTGTTTACTTTCCTCCACTAGAATTGGGAATCATTATTTCTATGGGCATATTATGTCATTGTAATTAAATTTATCCAAGATTTCTGTTGATGAATTGCTTTCCTCCACTAAAATTGAGAGTCATTATTTCTATGGACATGTCATGTCATTATACTCGAACCTATCCAAAAAAGGAAAAATCTTGGATAGATTTGAATCTATCCAACAAAAGAAAAAATCCAATTGAAATGTCATGACATGTTCAATTTTAATGGAGGGAAGCTACCAGTTCCTTTCACGGAAAGTGAAGTAATCACTATAGAAGCATTAAGTTAATTATTCATAAGTTAGTCTAGTGCATAAATTTATCCTTAAAATTTACGTGATTTGTCTTATATCACCTTTAAGTTTGTGAGGACCTATTATAATTTTATATTTTTACATTTCAATAATAATTATGTCCCTTACCAAAAATCTAAACCTGAACTTTATTATTCTCTTAATATCTTAAGCTTTAGTTATAATAACACTTTAATTTTAAATTATATTTAATTTAATAAATAAAATATTATTTTCGTGAGATTACTACGACGAGGTTAACCAAACAAGTAATCATCAAACACCTTATCTTAACCTCTTTCCCCAAATCAGAACTATTTCCACTACAACTATTGCTTATATATAAATAATTATTTATATTTATTATATAAATATTAAAATAAAAAAAATAATGTGGTAATTCGAGGAGCTTCCCAGCAACAATTTCAGCTGTCTCGAACATCCCATTTTTATTGTAACCCACAAGCAATGTTCGCCAAATTACTGGATCCGATGCGGGAATGGTTAGTGGAAAATCATACGCCTCGTCAATAAGGCCTCCACGGCATAGTAAATCAATCATACAGCCATAATGCTCCATTGAAGGTTCTATTCCTAATTCAAGCATGCTCGACCAATATCTCTTTCCGTCTGAAACTAGTCCGCCATGGGCACATGCAGATAAAATACCAATGAAAGTTACATGGTTCGGGCTTGGCCAGATAGGCATGGCCGGTTCAGTGAACCGCCGGTTCGAGATTTTTAAAATTTTGAACTGAAACCGGCCTTGAACTTTCGGTTCTGGTCCGGTTCCGATTCCGGCACGGTTCAGCACGGTTCCGGCGAATCAACGGTTCAAATTACGATTCTGATTCGGTTCCGGCATTACGCAAATTTTAAAAATAATAATAAAATTTTGATTCCAAATTCATCAATAAATAATAATTTTAAAATATTTAAATTTTATTAACCGGATGAATTATTATAAATTTTAAAAGAAAAATTTCGAGATTTAAAAATCTTGATAATTCGTGAAAGCTCCGCCTGAACGTTTTCGTTGACTTGGTCCGGTTTGTCCATGAGTTTTATGAATTTGTACCGAGCAACCGTGCTTAACAGACAATAGGTTTCCTGGGGGCGGAATATCAAACAGGATTACAAAAGTTACTGTATTTCTGATTTTCGGTTCCTGGCAAAATAACGCAGATTTTTAAAAAATACTCATAATAAAATTAATTGATTGCAATTCCATATCAACTAATTATTAATAATTATTTTTGAAGCAAAATATTTTAATTTTATTAACCGTTTGGAGAAAAATAATTATAAATCTTTTAGAGAAGAAACTTCCACTATTAAATTAACTTAAGAAACTATTATAACATTAAAATTTAACAAAATTTTGCTAATTATAGACTAATGATAATGAGAGAAAAAACTAATAAATGGAATACTAAAATTAATGGAAATAGATTTGATTATTTCAAAATACAGATGGAAGAAACATATTATTTAAAAAATCAATGAGTAAATATTTAATGAATGGAAAAAATTGTGAGATCAGAAGAGAAAAAATTTGGAATTGATGTTTAGGAAAATATAAAAAATAACAAATAGATACGATTCCACATATTAAGAAAATAAAAGCAATATAGAAAAAATAATGAATATGGAAATTTGAGAAGTATAAATCCACTACCATCTTTTCACGAGAAAGCCAAAGATTGCCAGAACATAGAAGAGGCAAGAACCCAAGAGAAAACGAAAAGATAGAAGAGAGAAAGAAACAGACAAGAATGATATGGAAAATGGGGAAATAAGGAAATGGATTTTATATATAATCATGGGTAAAAAAACAATGAGTAATAAAGAAAAGATAAAAAAACAGGAAATCGATGATCATAGAGGTATGACTATAAGTAAAAAATTAAAGTAAAAAGAAATAGAAAAAGAATCAAAGAAAAAAGTAAAGGTAAAATTATTGAAATAAAAAGAGAAAATGATAAGAATAAATAGATGAGGATATTGTAGGTTTAAGTAAGAACAGAAGTTGAAACAAACACAACGGTAGAAAAAAGAGTAACAAGGATAAAGATATAGGAAAAAAAATTTATTGTCTCTTTTTTCTTATTTTTTTTCGTCTGAGATGAAATTAAGAAGGTATAGAAAAATACAAAAAGAACAGAATTTTTGAAAAAATGACTAAAAGAAGAAAAAGAAGAAAAAAAAGACAATAATTAAAAATTTTTAATGTAAAAAGAAAAGCAGAAAAGTTTTTTTTTGAAAGGAAAAGAAAAAAAAGAAGATTAAACAAAGAACCAGAATAGTAAAGTGAAGAAGGATTTGAAAATATAGGAAAAGCACAAAAAAAGATCAAAATAAAAGACGAAGAAATTAGAATCGAAGAAAAAATAGAGAAGAGAGGAAAATCAGCACACATTACCAAGAGAAAAGAAGACGAAACAGAGAAAAGAGAAAAAAAGAAAAAAAAAAAAACTTTTAGCAAGAATATAGTGAAACCAAAAAAAGAACAACATGGTAACAGAAAAGACGGAAATAAAGAGAAAAAAAAAGAAGAGAGACAAGCAGATTAAAAAAAAAACAAGAATATATATAGTAAGAAAGAAAAAGAAAGTAAAGAGAGGAAATTTTTTAAAGACAAATAAAAGAGGAAATTAGAGATTAAAAACGAGTAGAAATGCGGAAAATAGATAGAGGAAAATGAAGAAAACAAATTAAGAGAACGATTGGAAAAATGGTGAAGAGGAGAAAAAGAAAAGAGAAATTTCACTAGAAAGAAAGAACAAAAGAACGAGTAAGTAAGCACTAAAAGAAAGATAAAAGAGAAGAACGACACAATGAAGAAAGAGTGGAAAGTAAAAACGGGAATAGCTTCAAAATAGGAAAATATGAAAAAAGAACTAATAACGGAAGAAAATAGAAAATTCTAGCGGAGAAAAACAAGAATGAGACAGATAAAAAAAGGGAGAAAAAAACGAAGATATACAAGAAAAAGAAAAAAGTTTTGAAATAAAAAGAGAGGGATTGATTTGGAAGAATGTGAAGATATATGATACAGAAAATTTTTTGAATATATAAAAATAAGAAGGAACTAGAAAAAAAATAGTAAATAAAAAGAATAGGTTAATGAGATAAAGAAAATTATGGTATTTAGATGCATAGGAGTAGAGAAAAATGGTTGAAATGTATGTAATCGGAAATAGAAAGATCTGTTTAAGTTAAAATAATAGAAATGGTGAAAGCTTAAATCACTAAGAAGAAAAAACGTTTTCCTTATAAAAAAGTCAAGAGGCGAAAAAATAATCAGCAGCTGAACACAATCGATTTGTAAATGAAAGCTTTCAAAGAAAAAATAGGACAAGAAAAAATAATAAAGCCAGAAAAAAGTGAATAATTGAAGAATATTATCATATATAGTGAGAGGAGCAAAGCAGGGGACAACTAAAAATACGATTAAAGAATATAAAAGATTATAAAAGTTGCTTTAACTACTAAGAAAGAAAAAAAAAATAGAGAAAACAAAGAAAAAGATAAATAAAATAGTTATAAGGGATTGAACATGAATCAAATTGAGAAAAAGTATTGAAGTGTAACAAATCAATGAAGGCAAGGATTGACTAGAATGAGAGATTGGTCGACGTCAAGGACATTGAAAATACCTAGAACAAGACAGAGGTAAAAGAAGAAGAAAAGAAGAAAATGAGAGAAAGATAAAGAGAAGAACTCTTATCAAAGATAAAATAAACACAGAAGAAGGGATAAGAGAAAAGAAAAAAGAAGACGGGAGAAGACGAAAAGGAAAAAAAAAGAACGAAAAAAGCAAAATGTGGAAAATGAGTATAAAGAGGTAGGAAAGAAAGAAGAGGATAAGATTTTCCTTAAATTATCTAGAAAAGATTTTAATAGATTGTATAAAGAGTAAGGCAGTAATAAGAGTATTCATTACATGAGTATGTGTAATATTAAAAGCATAACTCACTCATATTTATACCATGTTTCACACTTAATATAGCATTATTCCCCAAATTGCTCCCTTATAACAGAAAATAACAACTATACTTATTTTGGATAATTTTTAATAAATTACAGTAAATAAATAAATAAGATGATTAAAAATGATAAAATTTAATTTAACCCAATAAATACAGAATAAAAAACACCTAGTCAATATCAAAACTAATCCGTTACACTCTTCTTCTTTGTACATTCTTTTGATAAGTATTGAGTTATTTTATATATAATCTAAGGCATGGCATAACTACTCATTATTGTTAATAATAAATTAAGTCAAAAATGTGTATTTTTATTACGGACAGATCTTAGAACAACATTATATGTATGGCCTATTGGATATACTTCTCTATCACATAACATAATCAAATTATATCGAACATACTTACACAATTTCAAAATCAAAAAAATGTTGAATAATCAAAATTTTTTGTATAAAAAATTTTAAGCCATATGAGTATTTTTTATTGTGCATAACGAGTTCGTAACTGAGGACCGGAAGCCGCTAGTATAATAGATTTTTATTATACTTCACGCCGGGTCCGAAGAACCGATTCCGGTTCACTATATTTAAACCATTCACTAATGAACCTTAATCACAGCCGAGAACTATTTCTTCTATGAAACACGTTCGAGAGGAAGGTTTTTCGTAGTCGTCCGAGGTATTCACCCGCGGTTGTTCAGTATCTACTACAGAAGCGGTTCGAATCGGTTAGAACCGAACCAGTGGCCAATCTCATAGGCCAGATAATGAATTAACTTAGACAGGATACAGCCATTGTATATCTATTCATAACTTCAAAAAGCTATTTGCACCTATGGGATTAAAGTTTCTGCGGTGCAGTCTACATCAGACACAAGCCTTATAGTATAATTTATAGGTATTGGGTATGATGCAGTTCACTTAGATTTTTATTTGTGTCTGAGAGTAAACAGTATTCGGTCTCAAACACCTTCAGCAATAGATAATATGGAACAACAATGTAATTTTTATATCTTTCTTTTATATTTTAAATGATAATTATATATTGTCTAAATATATTACCCACATTGACTGCTCAGTACACAAAAAGGTGTGCATCCGGTTCGAACTGGACCGGAACCGCTGGTTAACCGCCGGTTCCGGACCGATTCCGGTTCATATTTTAACATTCACATGAACCTTAACCGGCTTTTGAACCGTCGGTTTCGGTCCGGTTCCGGTTCGTCTACAGAACGGTTCGATGGTTAGAACCGAACCAGTGGCCATGCCTATGGCCAGATAAGAATTAACTTAGATTAGTTACAGCTTGATCTTTCATAACTCAAAAGTATTTGCCTATATTATACTCTGAGCTAATCAGAAAAGCTTATATTTTTAATTTGTATTGCATCCTTAGATTTTTATTTGTCTAAGTAAAAGTATTTGCAAACCTCAGCAATAGATAATATGACAAAATGTAATTTTATATCTTTCTTTTAATTTAAAGATAATTATTTGTCATATTACCCATTGATCAGCAACAAAAGGTGATTACAGAAAGGGGAAACTTCCAATTAGTCAAAAACAAAAATTTAAGAGTACAACTCAACAAGTGTAAATAAAAAGGTCAAGGGTGCAGTAGACTTTCTCCAAATAGTTCAAGGGTGAATTGATCTATTCGGCCCTAATACTTGTGTATGTGTATACTTACACAATTATATGTGAAGGTATACCTGTTTTGCACCTAGTTTATGTTTATTTTGCTTCATCCATTAAATTTTCTTCATTAAAGACTAAAAAAACGTAATAATGATTCTTTTTATGACAACACTTAGCTTGGGATGCTTAGACCAGTGTGCAGACTACAAAAGAATTGGGATTAAGCTTCTAAATCACCTTTCTTTCTTTGCTATAATCATGAGAAAACTGTCAGATTTACTTTCTTTTTTTTTTTTTCTTTTATCTCATTACCTGTGCTTCTTCCATCCTCGAAAAGACATCCAGTGCATCCTCTGCAAGTCCATGAATGGCCAATCCAACAATCATTGAACTCCAAGCTTTACTATCTTTTACGCTCATCTCATAAAAAATTTCTTTGGCTTTCTCTTGCATCCACACTTGGCAAACATATTAATTAGAGCTGTATTAAGCTCAAGATCAATATGAATCATCCGTTTCTTGATTTTCGCATGAACCCACTTATGAACCCACTTCCCTATTGGCTATATCTAGTGCTCCAACCATAGCACAAGCAGTTATCACACCTACCAATGAAACTTCATCAGGTTCAATACCCACCAGTTGCATTTCTCTAAACATAATCAAAGCCTCGTTAACCATTCCTAACCTTGCATACCCACTGACCATTGCACTCCAACAAACCAAATTTTTCTCAGTAATTTCGTCGAACACCTTTCTAGCAATAGTTATTTCTTCACACTTCTATTAAAAATTCACCAATGAAGATTGCACATAAGGGCTTGAGCTAAACCCAGATCGCAAGATTTGCGCAAGAATCTGCTTACCTTCTTCAAGAGCCATTATAATTGATCAAGCTTTGAGCACAAAAACCATAGTAAAAGTGTTCAGATTTGGGTAGCCTTTTCCAACCATATCTTTGAACAACTAAATGGGTTCCTTTGATGGGTTTTTAGTGTATAAACAATCCCTTATAACTGTATTGTACGCAAAACACCTGGGTTTGGGATTTGAGAGAAAATTTTGCGTTGCGCAATCCAAGTTGCCAAAAGGAGAGAGAGCGGCAATGGAGAGGATTGAGGAAATGGGAGAAAAGTGCGTAAGGATTCGCGCATGAATTTGACGGAGAATTTGCATGCCGAGCTGGGGCATTTTCGAATCAGAAAAACGATTCTCCTTTCTTCTTCTTCCAGCTCTTCTTTTTTAACTGGTGACCTTAATGCCAAGGGCCTACGGCTCACATTTGGGCTCTACATGACAATTAAATCACCACATCACATGACATTATACAATCACACCAATGTTGTAGACAAATTAATTAACTGCAAACAACTTTTACCACTTTTGAATTTTTGGTTATATGCGCTTCACGAACTTTACCATATCCTACACGGTTTTCAGTCGGAAGGGCTTCACAATTTTGCCTTTCACATTCTTCATTATTAGGGGATGACTTGTAGTTCAGAGGAAGTAGGGATTAATGACACTCTGTTTATGTCTATACATAGAGCGAAGATACATTTAAAGCATCCAGTGTTATTGCTATGGTGGAAATGTCTTATAGACAATTAAGATTTGACAATAGCGCATTAGAAAAACAATAAGGAGCAAAAGTTTACCTAAAAAATCAGCAATTCTAAAAGCTGTAAATATCATTCAAATATATTCTTTATGAACTTCCCATTCAATTTCTATTTATGAATTCTGAACTAACTCCTATGTCAACAATCTGACATTCGCATTTATTAAAAATTAAAACAAACAGGAGCCTTTGATCCATAAATAGCATAAAAGGAGCAAAAAAGATCAGCCATCAAACTCACGGGTTTTGAGTTTTGAGTCCAGACATGGAGCTTTTTTTGTATTGGTTTTTACTTTATCACATTAATGTCAATAATGGGAATCTTTGTTTTCATTTATTATTTGATAATTATGTTAATCTCATTTGACTGCCTCTAGAAACAGAGCCTCAAATATCAAATAATTATAATGATATGCAAAAAACCACCAACAAAGACAAATTTACCAGCTGCATCATTCTAAGAAAATTCTGATTCAAAGCTAAGATAATACTAAAAGCTGTAAATATAATTCAAAAACACTTTCTTTTTAAAACTTTCGATTCAGACAATCCATTTCAGATTAAAGGAGTATAATGAAACAATATGGATCAAGTCCAACAAGAGCTCGCTTACTTATATTCACATCATGACGACTCTGCTCCTCCGTTATTGTCCCGGCCAGCAACTCTAACTCAGCCCTTCGAAAACCAGTGGCTACTTGTTGGGGTCAAAGCCCGACACTTTTGAGCCGGATAATTGCATAATGGGATTCTTTCGGACTTTTATTTGTCTCGCTCAAATAATTGGTAGAAAAATTATTAATATATAAATATATAGGTGTGATTACTTAAAAGAAAATGGAAAATTATTAATATTTTTGCACGGTTACCCATTATTTCATGGTTTTGTGGGATTCAACAATCTTGAATCCAGAACCGATCTAAACTGAATAACTCAATCTGAATATAGCCGAATTTCATAAATCCATTATCCAATCCAAATTACATTTAAAATAAAATCAAAAGTAACCGAGCCCAACAATATGCGGTTTTGTTACAAAAAATCACAACCGTTCGAGGAACCATATTAGTATTTTCAGTTAGTTAATCCAAACCGTCTACGAGAAGATATCCAAATCTAAAATTTTTCAATATACGTGTTCCTGTCTCTAGACTTGCAGTTTACACTCTTAAAGCAATTATATATATATGCTTATAAATTTATAGAAAATTGTATAAAATAAAAAAATTAATTAATTAATTAAATTAATCCAACAAGCTACAAGTGTCCAAACAAAAATTACAAAGCCAATCATACTAAATCCAATTATCCAAGTAACAATTAATATAATTAATATTAAAAGAATCATTCATTAAACTTTCAGTTAAAAAATTATAATTAGTAACCAATTAAGCATGACGTTTTTGTCAATAATCTCAAAAGTTATATCATATTGTTGTCACCTGCCACAAAAACAATATAAATATAGTTTACACTTTTGGATTTATTTTAATATGGGATAAAAAAGCAATGTCTTGCAAAAAAAAAATAAATAAATCTGAGATAAAAAAAATATATGTTGAGTACTAATCTAGTTAATCTGAATTAATCGAAATTTTTTTCAGATTAACCGCACCATAACCGAAAAACCAAATTAATATTTATAACTAACCAATCCAAATCAAAACTAATCTATTGACAGTCGAACCAAATCAAATTACTCGGTTCGATTTGAATTTTGGATTATATCAGCGAATTGCTCACCCCCACTTAAATCCTCACTTGTCATTCAAACACGAAATACTTAATTGAAATTTTCTTTTTATTCAACCACTTACTTTAAAAATTTTTTCATTTATACACTAAAATAGAATATTTCGAAAGATTCAGACACTAAATTTAATGTTATCCTTGATATAAACGTGGTAATAGTTATTAGGCCTAATAAACAATACCCTCAACTTTGTAATTAAATTAAACACATCTATAAAGTTGAAATTTGTAGTTAGTACCTAATATTTGGCTTTGTGATTATTCTGCTTTTGACAATTTCCATTTGCAAATGTTTAAGGCTTAATAAAATATGATTTGACTCAAAAAATATAAAATTACTCTTATCTTTCTTTTCCTCTAGCCTTTTAACCATAATTTTGTTTTGGAACTCTCATTGTTTATGAGTAATAATCCTTACCTTCTACTCTTTTTTCACTTCAATTCCTTTTACTTTAATCTTTTGTTCACTTTAATAAACTCATTTTTCTTATAACAGATCTGTAATTCTTTTTTGTTTTATTATTGTTATTTTGTTTTCATATCTAGAGTTTTTTTGTCACTTCTTTGTGAGAGTTTATTACTAAAGAAAAATATGATATTTGACTTTATTTGGTGAGAGACTTTAGATCTTGATTTGCAGTGTAGATCTTAGATTAATGGAGTCTTATAGTGCGACATGTTCCTCCATCGATGCTGTTGACGTATAACGGCGTAAATTCATGTGTTCATCATAGTTGTAAATTCTTGGAAAAGCAATTCATGTATAAAAGATTGAGAAGTTATTATTTTATTATCCATATCAGTTAGCGGACTAGTTGCTGTTATGAATATTTATACTTTTATCAAAATCAACTCCAAGAGAAAAGATCTAATATTATACTCCATCCGTCCTATTTTATTTGCTTGTTATTCTGTTTTTGGATCTTCCAAAATGTTTTCAAGGTTTCTAAATTTATATATGTAAATAATTATTTTTTTCATGGTAATATTTATGATCCTTCATTAAATGAAAAACTTTTATCAATATCTTAATGAGTTAAGGGTAAAAAAGTGTAAAATAATTTTTATTGACTAAATTTTTAATATACGTATTTTGTCAAATCATGCAAATAAAATGGGACGGAGTGACCACTTTTTAATTTTAGTTTTATTGTTCAAAAGAGTATAAATTCTTTTGTTTCGTTAAAAGAATTATATGTCTAGTCTATTTGTAATTGTTAATATTATTATTAATGAATTATATTTTTAAAAAATTGGCATTAAAAAAAAAAAAAAACATGATCTGAAAAAGGTGAGATCTTTTACCTTTTCCCAAATCGTGATTTATTTTCTTTTTCCAAAAAAAAAAAAAAAATCAAAACCCGCTTTTGAAAGGAAACTCCAAACAGAACCTTATTTTTAGCTACCTTTTACAATTATTTTTTATTTCATTTTTATTTTTGTCTTCGAATAAAATGAAAGTGTCGTTATGTTGTGTGCCATTGCCTATAACTGATTAACGTTGATGATTTTCTTAATCAAGCTTTTAATTATTATATTCTAAATATGTCATCCTTTTAACTATAACTTATCCAAATAACTAAATTAGAATACGCTAAACTAGATGCTAAGTATAAATAAAATCATCAAATCTTTATTGGCTGAATGCATAATATCCCTCCTAAACCATTTTAACTATTTATCAACTTCAACTTTGTAGGGAACCTACTAAACCCCTTTAATTTTTTTTTTTTTTTTATATCTTTTACACTTCTGTTCAGTTACAGAATTGAGCGTGAAATACAATCGCTCTTATGTGGCGTTTTTTTGAAACACGTCTGCATATTTTATTCCACGTGGCATTTATATTTGTTAAACTAATTTAAACCCATTAGAAATGCCCAAACCAATTAAAAAACCAAGTAAAAACCCATGATTTGAGGCAAATCGAACCTTCATCAACCTAAACTAACCACAACCTAAATCTATCTTCTCCCTTCTCTCCATCGTGCATAGCCCTCCTCCATTTTTTATTTTTCCGATCATCTGCTTGTGTTCGCCAACACCGACTCCTCCCTCTCCATTTTCAACTCCTGTCTCTCCACTTTTTGATCAATCCAAACTCGCCGCCATCTCTTCCTCTCCACTTTCGACCTGTTTTAGCGCAGCAATGGGGGTGGTCTTGAGCTGCAATTCTTGCTCTTTGTTTTCTTTTATTTTCGACAAGGCCAGCCAAGGACTAGTCGGGTTGACCTTCTCTTCGTCCCTAGCAACTTATTTACTGCTATTCTTTTTTATTTCTGATTCAGTAGCAACGTAATAAGGAAATAGGAAGGGAGATGTGTTTTTTCAATTATTTTCAGTAAAACGCTGTCATTTATGCCACGCTAGATTAGAATGAAGCATTAACGCTCTCTTTGAATATTGAATTCACGGCTACTATTCCAGCTTGGCAAGGGGCTCATAAATTACAAAAAAATCAACCTAAGGGGTATATAGGTCCTCCACAAAGTTTAGATTGACAAATGGTTAAAATGAAAAAGTTCAAGGGAATTTTATACATTCGGCAAACCTTTATTCTATATATCATCATCATGTTATTGTCAAGAGCCTATTGCTACCATCACAAGCTATATATACACATACATTGCATCCTTCGATAGAACAAATCGATAATTAATTATATGTCGAAGTATAATAATTATTTTGTTTCATTTAAAAAACAAGAAACTTCCCTTTAATTATTCAATCTAGCCAATATTTCCTTTGTCCCAAAATATAAATTGTTTTTGGTTTGTTATTTTATCCTAAAATATAAGTCGTTTTGTATATTTCAAGAAATAATGAATGATATTTTTTCAATATTACCTTTGTTCACACTTAATACGATAAATACTTCACAAGTAACTATTGGTTTTGAGATAAAAAATAAATTGGTTAAATTACCCTTGAGTTTGTTATAATTTAGAAGAATTAATTGCTTTCTTAATTTTTATGCAAAAACTTTAAAAACTTATATTTTGAAAGACAGGGAGTATAATGCAAGAAAGATTAATGATCAGTTGTGCAACTATGTGTATTTGAATGCTGAAGTGAGGGTTTAAGGTCAAGGATTTCATAATGGGATGGATATATATGAAACTTGGAAACTTAAGTCATCAAATTTTGGATCTCTTACTCCAATGCTATTCCCATTCCCCCACTCCACAATCATATTACACCACAACTTTTTTCTGTGGTGATTGACCAATTACAAAATGCCACATATGCATACATGCTTTCATCATCTTTTTCTTTTCTTTTTCCTTTTATTACAATTTTTTTTTTAATTCAAATGTCAAAAAAACTACACTATTTTTGTTTTATTATTAGAATTGAACCACGTATGGTAAAAAATTAATTTTAGGTAATTTTTAACAATTAAAACTTATCTTCTCGATGAGATTTTTTTAAAATTTTATACAATATTCATGAAAAATCTAATTAATTCATTTTTATAATTACAACAAATTAGTCATCATTTAATAAAGAAGTTTATATATAATTTTTTTTATTTCAATCATTTGGTGTCTGAAACCTACTGGCTCGACTAATCTGGCTTCACGCTGTCAAACCCACAAATGGGGGCAAAGCGTTCCCTCTAAAGTGTTTGAGTGTTTAAAAGGACTTCATACTCAGTGTTCGAATTCGAAACCTCTGATTAAGGAAAAATGGATTCTTATCATCTCATCTCAACTTTCAGGAGTAAATTTATATATATGACTTTAGTTACTTCCTGTTATTAATTTTCATTAATTAAATTAATTGTTTTTATTTCTCATTTTAGAATTTAAATAAGATTATAGTCTAAAATATTTAATATTCTTTAGGGAATGATATATTTCTCATTTAGATTATGAAATAGATACTTTGAATTAAATTTATAAAATTTTTAATATTATTTTTCTTTTTCCATTGGAGGAGAGGGGATTCAAATTGGTTATATTGTAAAGTTTAAATTTATAAAATTTTTAATATTATTTTTCTTTTTCCA